GTCTGCCTCTTCAGTTATCTTTTCCTATGATGACTGCAGGGTAAGACCTACTTTACCTATTCAGTCATTCTCACCAAAGCAGAGCAAATACTTCTTATACACCCCCTTACACACCCTGTACCCTGCAAGGCCATCAAGAAGATAACTAATCTCAGATTCCTATGTTGGTCTCTTAAAACAGGATGAAATATCAGTGGCTCCTAGCTCTTTCAACTAATTACAACAATTTCTCGACTTAAGAGCAAAGCTGCACACTGCCAGAGAGCATTATCATTCTGTCAGACAGTAAACTAGTAATTTCATTGTTTCTTAAAAGATTGCAGGTAGATGAGAGGAAGGTCTTACAGCTCCTCAGGGAGTCCAGTTGAGGATAATAATTAAAATAGGAATAAGCATCTAAACAAAGAAATACAAATCAGTACTTCTGTGTATATCTGTAAGTGGGAGTCACAGTGATAGGTATTTGAGGCAGAGAATATGGAGATAGGTTGGAGCTTTGGAAGAAAGGAAGCATTGTGCAAACTTTCATGGTTCAGGAACAGCATGCAACATTTCACTTTACATTAAAATAAAGTATCTTCTGGATTTGTTCCCACACTCTCCAGTATATCAACAACTTTCTCTCAATTACCTTTTGGCTCAAGTGAATAAAAAGCTGCAATCATCCTTTTTGACAAGCCTTCAAAACTGTTTTCCAGATCATTTCCAACAATAAATGTAATTTAAACTTTTATGATAAAAGCATACAAGTGCTTTAAAATAGCCCAGGTATTTTTCTAGAGAACATGATGTCATTCTTTCCATCAGCAGCCACTCATGCTTTAGTCTTTGTTTGCTGATAAGCAGAAAAAGAATTAGAACATTAGTCAGTATTTTGATATTTAAAATTAATTATTTTCCTCTGTTCTAATCTCTTTGTTGGTTAGTTTCCATTTTCCAAAAGTATTGCCGAATTTGGCTTTTGGGTGTATTTACACTGTTCTAATGGAGTTGTGTGTCTGTGTACTTGAGAATCGAATTTGATTAATGTGTAAGTACTTCAGTTTGCCTGAGATGCACTGAGATAACAATTTTTTATAATTCCCAAGCTCTCTAAAAAAACCTTTCTTGTGACATTTTCTTTGTGGAAGAAAATAAATATAGTTATCTGTGGGCAGTAAAAACATCTTCATAAAAATCTGTGATTCCTTCTAAACTTCCAATGAAGAACTCAGTGGCAAAAATATGGTGGAATATTCTTCTTTTGTCTCTGGCACACCTAGGTAAGTATTATCCAACTATGACTTTGAAGAAGATATTTTACATTTTTTCATTTCATTCACTCTTTCAGGTAAGGTTGGATACAAGTACTTTCTGCTTCTGCCAAGGCATTGCAAGGGAATGCTTGATTTTCACTGTGGAAATAATCAGTTGCAGTGTCCTAATGATGAATTGCACCTCCAAAAATTTTAGAAGAAAGATAACTCAAGTTGGTAATGAATAAAATCTGAACTTTGTTAATGCAGGTCATGCTGAAGATTACCTGTCTGTGTCTGTTGATTCAAAAGATGTACCTACTAAGCAGTGTCCTTAATTGATTGCTTACATTATCATTTAATGAACCTGTTAAGTACAACATGAAGTTGCAAGGAGTAAGTACTTTTTACAGAGATCAGAGACTCACAGAATGGTTTGGATTGGAAGGGACCTGTAAAGATAATCTAGTCCAATGCCCCTGCCATGGGCATGGACACCTTCTACTAAATCAGGTTGCTCAAAACCCCATCCAACCCGGTCTTCAACACTTCCTTGAATGCAGCCACAGCTTCTCTAGACAACTTGTTCCAATGTCTCACAACCCTCACAGTGAAGAACTTCTTCCTAACATCTAATATAAATCTAACCTCTTGCAGTTTAAAGCCATTACAAATTGTCCTATCGCAACAGATCCTACTAAAAAGTCTCTCTCCGTCTTTCTTGTTGGCCCCTTTAGGTACTGGAAGGCTGATCTAAATTCTCCCCAGAGTCTTCTCTTCTCCAGGCTGAACAATTTGCACTCTCTTAGCCTGTCTCCTTAGGAGAAATGCTCCAGCCCTCTGATCATCTTCATAGCACTCCTCTGAATCTGCTGTATCATATCCGTGTCCTTCTTGTTCTGGTGGCTCCAGAGTGGAAGTCAGTACTCCAGGTGGGATCTCACCAGAGTGGAGTAGAGGGAGAGAATCACTTTCCTCGACCTGCTGGCCATACTCCTTTTGATGCAGCCCAGAATATGTCTGTCTTTCTGGGCTGCAAGTGCACATTGCCAGGTCACATCAAATTCTTCATCCATCAGCATCCCCAAGTCCTTCCCCTCAGGGCTGCTGTCCATCCTTTCATCCCCTAGCCTAGCCTGCGATTGCCCCCACCCAGGTGTGGAACCTTTCACTTGGCTATGTTGAACTTCATGAGGTTCATGTGGGCCCACTCTTCAAGCTTGTCAAGGCCCCTCAGGATGGTGTCCCTGCCCTCAAGAGTATCAACTGCACCACTTGGCCTGGTGTCATTCAAGATCATTGACCGATCATAAACTCCGACTGGGGAGAGAAAGTTGGCTTTAGAAGTTATGTTTTTTGCTACACAGGTAGTAAATGGATCATAGAGATAAACCTTGGAAGTTGTGTTACCTTCCTGCATTCTTCCCATCTGACATTGTAAATTGTACTTGTTGCACAACATATTGTTCCTAAGTTGGGAATCAACTTGTTCCTGACAAGTGCAACCCTTCCTGTGGCCTCTCTGGACCTGTGAGCAAAGTGAGGTACTTTTACAACCATGCCATTTCTCAGGGTGGAGTCCTGTGATCAGCTGTCTTTAGCACCAAGATTTTAGGTTATAAAACCTGCAGTTTTATAAACCTGGCATCACTGGCATCTGCAGTTCTGGCCCCTCAGTGGTAATTAAAGGCTTACGTAATAAGCAGTAAAACAACAATTGACATATGTGAGCTTTAGTCTGCCAAGTCAATCATCCTTTAGAAGTTGCTTTTTGTTAGATTAAGGGAAAAAAATCATAAAGTACTAAAACCAATTGGAAAAAAAATAACCAACCAACATTGTATTGGCTGAAATTTGACCTTTACTTTCTGGGCACATGTTCAAGGTACTAACAGGGAGTGCCAGAGCAGACCAAGCACATCACTGGTAAGAAGTGCAAGACATTCCTGTACTAGCATGGAGGATCCCAAATCATGGACCAAAGCACTGTTACAGTAAAATGATGTAGAAGGAAGAAATAAGTGGCTTCTCATTATCTAAAGAACTAAGAAATGTGGATGGTAAATGCCATTCCTGCTAGTGGTTCTAATACACCTTTGTAGGCTTCTAACAGACCAGAGATTACTTTATCACAACTGAAGGCTTCAGGCCTGTCTAGGTCAAAAAGAGTTGTCAAATTAATAATAAAAGGAAATAATCATAAGCAACAGTGATAGAACAAGCTTTTTACTTCTTCAGCTAGCATGGATCACAGCATTTTATTGATTTGGGTGACTACAGGCTATAAAAGGTTAGATCTACTTTTCCCAGTGCAGAAATATAAATGGGTACCCCTGTGTAGTATTTATCAGAATAAAAATTTATCCATTAGCTCCTGGAGCATGTCTGAGAGGGTCAACAGAACAGCGAAAGCCTCAGCTGCATCCATAGTACCAGCACTGGACTGGGGTTTTCACACAGCTGCTCTGGCTTGCAGAAGTGATTACAAATAATGGAAATGAAATGTACTAGATATGGTGCAAACAAACAAAAAGGACATTCCTGGCCCAGGGATCTTACCATCCAAGTGTAAGAGGGATGATAACAGAGGAGGGAGCTGGCAAAATGCAAAGAACCAGTGAGACGCCAGTGACTGCTCAGAAATGGATTTGGCAGACTGATGTTCACAACAGGCTTTTGCAACAAACAGACTTTATCGTAGTGTAAAGAGCTTTATAGGTGTTTGTGGAGGGAAGGATTAAAAAATGTGAAGGGCAATACAACTGCCAGAAATAACTGTTTCTTGGAATGCTGAAAGTGCAGCATACCTATTTTTAACATTAAAGGTAGCAACATCGTGTCTGTCAAAGCCAGTGGAACGGATGTTGCACTGATGGACAGGCAATGACAAGTATACATGGCACAGGGAGGCTATCTTGAACACATGCCTGGGGTGACAGTGCCAAGCTCATTCCTTTCCAGAAAATGAAGTGTGAGTGCATTGCAAGGTTCAGAGCAGAGCTCAGTGCGGAAGATTTTTGAACCTGCAGTGGCTCTGCACAAAGCCAGCTGGAGCTGCTCTGGATCATCCAGATGAAGCAGAGACCTGGCCCCAGGCTGGGCCCACGTGAGAACAGAGCAGTGATATTCTTATCTAAACTCTAGGGGAAATAATCAGAACCAATAGGTTGGGAGGAAGGTCAGAGGTGGAGTAACTGCTGTGCACTCTGGGTGGCATTTTGGATCGGATGCTGATGATTACAGCGATAAAATTCAGGAACACAATGGAGGGAAGATGGCAAAGAATGAAGGGTTTAATTATAGTAAATCTGAGTTTAATTATAGTTAGAATCCTTAAGGCAAACCCCAAAATGTTTGTATGTAACAGAAGGCAAGGTTAGATCGAGTGGCACCGTTTGTGGTGTGATGTATCCATTACATTGGCACTGTCTTGATAAGGGAAGAGTTCGTCGTCACGGTGATGGGCGCTTGGTCCTTCTGAAGAAAAGCCGCGAAAGACACCCAGACACGTTACGGTGCAAGCCCGAGTGTCCCCGCACGGAGCCCGTGTCACCCGCCAGAGGGACGAGCACACACACAGCGGGCCGAAGGGCTGGCCCCCGCCTCCTCCGTCGCGCCGGGCACGGGCAGGGGCAGCCCACCGCAGGAACACCGCCCGGCCCCGCCCCGCCCCGCCCCGCCCCGCCCAGACCGAGGAGCCGCGGCCCCGCAGGCCCCGCCCCGCGGCGCTGTCGTAGGCTCTGACGCCGCTCCCCGCCCCGCCTCGCCCCGCCCGCGGGCCAGGCCGGGTAGCGGCGGGTGGGGGGCGCCGTTAGCTGATGGGTGCCCCTTGCTGGTCCGTGCCGTAGCGGGGTGCGGCGGGCCCGCGCTCTCGGAGGCCATGGAACAGCTCCCGGGCGGGCGGCGGCTCCGGCTGGTGTCCTCGCTGGGGCTGGGGCAGCGCGCCTGGGAGGTCACCTTAGACGTGGAGTGGGGCCGGCTGGCCTGGCGCGACCCCCGCCCACCGCGCCGCGGCGATGGTGAGTGGAGCGGCGGGGCGGGCTGCGGCGCCGGCCGGCATTAGCGCACCTGCCGGGGCCGCCGGAGGGGCCGCCTCCCCTCCGCGGTGCGGGACGGGCCTTCCTCGCGTCCTTTGCAGCGCGGGGCAGCTCGCAGCGCGGCGCGGGTACCGGTGCCGGCGGGGACGGCCTGCAGTGGCCGGGTCGCACGCCGGCGGCTTAGGGTGCGCTCAGCCGGCGCCGTGTATTTCCTGTACTTGGGCGCCTTTTCGCCCTACAAAAGAAGCGCGGCAGCCGGCGGCACCGGCGTCCTTTCGCGGTCGGCTCCGGGGTTCGGAGTCCGGCGGTGGCAGACGGAGAGTGCGTTAATCACACGCGGGCCCGGCCGGGCGGCGGTGTAGCCGCGGACGGGCTGTCAGCAGCCGGCTGTACTGAACCTGTCAGCCGGTTCCCTGCGAGAGGTAGCTGGAAGCTCCCCCTCTTTGAGCCGCAGGGACCGCGTGGAGTGCAGCGAGCTCCCCGTTCTGCGGAAGAGGAGCGTCTGTCTGAGAGTGTGCCCCTGGTTACCGAGGGGTGAGAAAACTTCCCTGCAGCTGGATGAGGAAAGCACGGGTTTTGTAGTTGAAGCCCGTTGTTTCTTGGCACTGGGAGCAGGTAGCAGCATGTAGTTTGTAATCCTAGAACGACAGAATGGTTTGGGTTGGAAGGGACCTTAAAGCTCATCCAGTTCCAACCCGCCGCCACGGGCAGGGACACCTTCCACTGGACCAAGTTACTGAAAGCTCTGTTCAACCTGGCTTTGCACGCTGCCAGGTATGGGGCAGACACAACTTCTTCGGGCAACAAAAGGACATAATAGACTTACAGAACTTTTAAAGCAACATTTCTTTTTGGTACATGACTTGTGCGTAAAAAATAATACTGAAAAATACTGAAGCACTATTTCAGGCTTCCCCTCCCCCCACCCCAAAAAAAAAAAAAGGGAAAAAAAAGGTGTGGGTTTTTTTAAACTCTTTATTTTCTAAAGAGCTTCGTAGGAATTTCCAAAGAAAGTTTAACTTCTGTGAGTTACTTTTTAGGAAGTGTTAAATATAGTCTAATAGAGTGTATTGGTGTAACAAAGCTGTTCACCTTTTGTGCAGGTAGAATAGTGTTGACTTATAAAACTGCAAGTGTGAGAGGTTGCTGTGGAAAATACCTGACAGAATTGCAGGATAACTGCTGAAAATGTGTGTACATGTATATCGAGCTTTCTGCTACACTGTAGGTGGTATTTCATCAGTCTCTGACCTGGGCATTTTTAATCTAGTAATTATTCACATTAATAATATAGCCCTATTAGCAGGGTATGTGAGCATCCTGAAGTGTGTAATGTTCTTTTCACAGCAGCTGCTGTAGGGTGGAAAACTGCTGTCATTCTCCTCTAAGAGGTTGTAGGTACCGAAACAGAAAGAAACTAATAATAGAAAGGTCAACTAGAAGCTTTTCTGAGAAGAGTTTGAGTATAGATGTCTCCAGTCTCGGGCAAGTTCCCAAACTTAAGTAGTTAAATAGTTCTTCCTTTCTTACCATGTATCCTTCTTAAATATTTCACTGATTTTGTCATAATGTCTTATTGGCCTGAGGCTTTTTTGAATAAAGTTGAAGGAGAAGGAGGACTCGAGAAGAAAATGTAGTTTACATAATTGAGAATTGGTCATGTTTTAAGTACATCTCTTCTTATTCATAGTAACATAAAACCAGTCTGCTTTCCTTCTGTTCTGTAAATACAATTTGACTTCATCCAGTTTTTATCAGCAGTGCTGCTGAAAAGAGTGTTTGAAAATCCCTGGACTTAGTTCAGCATCTGAATGAAATTAAGACTTTAAAAATGAGTTCTTTAATTCTGCCAAGCTCTAATATATTGCTGTGAAAAGTAAGCTCTATACTTTAAAAAAAAAAAAAAAAAAAATTGTTCAGAGAAAGGTGTCTGGATCTTAAATTTAAAATAGAGTTTCAGAGCTTTTTGGGACAGTTGCTCCTTCTGTGTGATGACTTCCTTTAGACCTTGCAAGTTATAAGTTTTCTTGACTTGGCCAAACCAAGTATGAACCTGTGCTGAATCCTGTTCCATAGCAAATGTAGTGGGACACAATAACTAGATTCTTTCTGAGGCAGTTTCTGAAGTAGTAGCCAGCAGATTTCTTAGGGGGCAAGTCTGGTTACTGAGGGCGGCTGCTGTCCTGTGGCATAGCTATTAACAACATTTTGGAAACTATGACATGTTATCCAGAGAGAAAAGGGAGGGTGGGAGAAGAAAAATAAATGCCCAGGTCTTCTGGAGGCACATGTATAATTTCTGTAAAGAGCAATATAATACTTGATGTATCACTTCCTCTTAACACCGTGATTAATTCATGTGTTCCTTGCACTTGTGCTTTAGTATGATCACAGTTTGCTGCCGTGTTGCCTTTAAGCTCTTCTAAGACCTGGGATGGCTCATTGTGTGCTCTGCAATTATTTTGGAAATCCAAGCAGCATATGTGACAGTATATATAAATAAACTATACTATGGAAGGTGGTTAGTTAGAAGCATATTATTATAGAGGAGTTCTTTGACCAAGATTGGTATCTTTCTACCATTTAGCCTTTGACTACGTGACTACTGTGTATTCTGCCTAAATATAGACTTGATTATGCAGTATACAGCTGCTGTATTTTTTGTTTAATAGGTAGTTATTACAGCGAAACAGTTGTCTTTAAACTGAAAAAAATACCCTCAGTGAGGGCTGCTTATTTTCTGAGTATTTATTACTGTCTTGGTTTTAGCTACATATGTAAAATGGTTCGGTACATGTTTTGTCAAGGTTTTCAGATGTTGACAGGTAAGGAACTAGAGCTATAGTTAGCTGTTAGGAAGAGGTAGGAAACAATAGAGATTTTGTCCTATTCTCCTTTACAGAATATGGCAAGGTTCTTGTGTTTTCTTATCTTTGTACAATGATGCTAACATAGAATAGTTAGGGTTAGAAAGGACCTTAAGATGATCTAATTCCAAGCCCCTGCCATGGGTGGGGGTGCCTCACACTAGACCATGTCACCCAAGGCTCTGTCCAACCTGGCCTTGAACACTGCTAGGGATGGAGCTTTTACCACTTCTTTGGGTAACCTGTTCCAGTGCCTCACCACCCTCACAGTAAAGAATTCCTTGTATCTAACCTGAACTTCATCTATTTAAGTTTAAACCCATTCCTCCTTGTCCTATCGCTACAGTCCCTTAATGAAGAGCCCCTCTCCAGTATCCTTGTAGGCCCAGGCCCCCTTCAGATACTGGAAAGCTGCTAGGAGGTCTCCACGCAACTTCCCTTCTCCAGGCTGAACAGCCTCAGCTTTCTTAGCCTGTCCTGACCCAGGCGTAGGACCTTGCACTTTGCATTATTGTACTTGAAGTTGGCACTGGCTCACCTCTCGAGTGTGTCAACATATAGATATATAAATTTAAAGCCAATTCTGTTAAAATGTGTTTTATGAAGAAAGAAGTATTGATTCTGAAGAATTTAATGCTATTGTTGAGGAGATACCAACAATAATAAAACCAAAAATGTTTGTTCAGGACATGGCTTGTTTTTAAACAAGCCTGTTAACTTTCTTTCCTACTGTTAGACCTTGTTTAACAGCATCATATTTTCAAGTTCTGTCTTCAGTGTAATGAGGTTCCCATTTTCCGTTCTTTGGTTGGACTTTTTTAAACTTAAAGGGCAAAGTTTCATCTAAATGTGTTTCTTTGTTACTCTTAGCTATACATCTTTTTCACACCTTCATCTTCAAATGTTCTGAAGAATATTATTTTTTTCAACCTTATAACATTTCTCCATTAGATTTAGTTGTTAATCGTTAATAGCCTATGCAAAGCTGGACAGATCAATTGTTTTATTATTTCCTTATGTTGGTGGCACAGTTAGGGTTTTTATCAAGTGGTAGAAGTGATTATAAAACTTCATGTACCAAATTTCATAGCAGAGTATATATTGTACACATGTACTTACAGGTATTTTACAAGTATTGGCTAAGATTATAATGTGCCTCATACTAAGGCATTACAAACACAGAATGAGATTCCCTTGTTACTTCTGTGTTTTGGGATTTTATACTTGTAAGGTACAAGCATAAAGGGGATGATCAAACTAGACACTGAACTGTATGATTTCACTTCCTGCGTGCACCTTCTTTTCTATCTTTTAACCCTTTCTCTGTCTCTCCCAGGGAATTCTTGTCCCTCTAAGTGTCTTTTCTACATTTTTCCCCAAAACACTCATGGAAGCCTCAGAACTCATATTCACAAGACTGATGCCATTCCGATGTTGTGGATTCCAGAGGGTGTTTAGTTTGATAAACACAGTACTGAGACAGCAGAAGTGAGCCTGCTTGGAATGAAGGCCTGTACTGCACCTGTAGTGTGTTGGCACATCCTTAGTCAAGGTCATTTGTCATCAATCATTCCCAGTTGGCAGTGGGCACAAGTAGAAATCTGAACCATGTTTTTCTCTAGACAGTTCCCCTGACTACATTGAACCAGTAGGATGTGGGGAATAATAGGTTTAGAATGCATTGTTTCGTTGGAGTATGTTGTCTTCTGGAAGATATATTATTCAAATATAGACGCACCTTACATTAAAAAATACATGCTTTTCAGCATACATCTCTTTGGTGGTGTTTTTTTTTTCCTTGTTACAGTGAAAAAGTGCATCTTATTTCTTGCTTTACCAGTAAAGTATTCATGGTTGAGTTGGAAAGATTTTATTTGGAAAACATTCAATGGAATGGAATCAATTTGGGAAAATACTCAATGGTACAATTTAAATATGCAAATTGATGCAAGTGCAAATTGCTGTGATTTGATTCAAATTCAGATATGTGACGTTAAGCCCCAGCTGTGTGTCTGATCATACTAAGGAACTGTTCTATTGTCTATTGGTTTACAAAGTACTTGAAGATTTACTTAAAAAAAAAAAAATCCTATAAATGCCTGTATATTGTGAGATCATGGACTTCATATGTTTCTGTGACTCTTCCACAGTTTGGAATTAAATAATTTAGTTATGATACCTTTCTTTTCCCCTTCCCCCTCTTGTAGGATGTGAATTCTCTGTAATTCTGCTCTATATCCCATCCACCATCTTTTATTCTGGTCTTTATTAGACACAGCTTTCTGTAGTGCATGGTCAATATAATGCAGTGTACCTTCTGACAGAAAATGTTCTTGTTTTCTTGCTTTTGGGTGAAGGCAAAGCTTAAACTTAGGGCAAGGTAACTTAATGTTCATGTGTTCCCTAACAGTAAATTAGTTTCCAAAGTGACTGAAAAGAAACTTTTTATTTAAATCTGCACCCCAGCTTTTTAGCTGTTAATACTTTTATGTCACAGGAGTATACTAATAATTTAAATTAGTTCTGAATGTCACTGCATCGCTGGGACTGAGCTGAATTTTAATAATAAACCAAATGTTGTGATCAGCAACATCTTTGTGCTTTTGCACATGTCTGTGTTGCTTTGAGCTAACACATTTCTGAGGGAGGAATTTGGCCTGTAGGGTATGAAGCTGGCAGTGATGACTGAACAAGTCTTTACTGAGGTTCTGAGTGAGTTTGCTTATAAACTCAGGACGTATTCTACAGAAGTAGCAGACAGAAATGGCATATTAAAATGCCTTTCATAACACACAACACCACACTTCACAACTTCTAGCTAGTTTTTTTTGCAAAGAAAGCCCACTGTTAGTGTGCTTGAGTTTTTTGGGTTTGTTTGTTATTTTTTTTTCTCCCACTTGCTTAATGTGGGAAAAAGTAGTATGCATCTAACACACTGTTTGCCAGTTTGCAGTTAGAGAAGACTGTCTGTTAAGACTGTAAAGGCGCTGGGACATGGAATAACTGATAACTGGCACAGCCAATGTGCAGGGAAGACTGTCACCTGTCTAGTGTGTCTTTTGGGGTTTTAATTATTTTATCTTTTTGCCATGCTTCTTCATCCATCTGCTTTGGTTGGACAAATCATCATCTTTAGTGCATTGCGTATGTTAGATACTGGGCAAGGTGAGACATTGAAACATAAAAATGTCTTAAGATCTTTGAGATAGTTTAAGAAAATTAATATGTACTTCAGTATTTCTGAGCATGAAATTCAGTCTCTTGAATCTAGATGTGTATGTTGAAAATGGCATGGTATTTCATCTGGAATTTTATCTAGCAACTTTTGTATCTGCTTGGTTGAATATATTGTTCTGAGCCGAGTGAAATTCTTTATGTGGTATGGTTCTGAGTCCACTTTTCAACTTTTTTCGTTAATGTTGTTCTAGTAGTTCTGGTCTAAGTACCATTTTTTTGTTACTGTTAATGTGGCAATAAGATTTTCCGTGTTTTGGGAGCTTGTCAAGGTGAAGTGAGCATTTTTATACTACATCAGTGAAAGAAGTAGCTTATGCTACCTGATAATAGGGTAAATGCTGCAAGAGTAGGTATGTGAAAGGACATCAGTACATATGTGAAACTTGTTGACCTTTCAAAAGAGGGTGGGAGAGACCTACTTTTTTACGGGGCATGTTTTGGTAATTAAATGGCAGAAGGGGGCATTGTGTTCGTAGAAGCAGGATTTCTTGTATTCAAGGCTTCTATTTGATTTCTTTGCAATGGAAACTTTTCCTGTCTGGAGAAAAAAAGGGGGAGGGGGCAGCTAAGTAGTTGATTTGCTTTTTGATTAAACGATGTGTTTTGACTTACTGCGTAACACTAAGTCAAATAGTGATAGTCATATTTGGACTGATAGGAATTCTTGAGCTCTATCCAAACACAAATGCCACTGCATTCAGATTTGTTTTTATAAGCTGTAGGGAATGTTCTGAATAACATGTTTGTATTTGAGAAAGCCTTGCATCTTTTGGTCCTCTGTGATTACTCTGTTAAGTAGTGTGTGGTTTTGACTGCCTGAAGATTGGAGTATGCTGGTGGGGCAGTGAAGTTGCTTGATACTTGTGCAGTGCTAAGTAGTAGAGGGCCACAACTGACACAGCCGATATTCATAGAACAGAAACATCTTGAACTTCTACCAAGCCCAAGGATTTAGAGGGGGAAGGTGGGATCACTCTGTGCTTTGCTTTTGTTTTGTTCCTTTTTTGTTTCTTTTTCCTTGTTTTGGTGTGTCACTGCTCCCACCCCCAGTCTGGGGTTTATTTTTTTCAGATATGTACCTCCTGTGGCTTATAATAATAATAATAAAAAAGGCACATATTTAACTAAAATTTTTCTTCTTTGCTTTTTTTGCTGCATCTGTGGAGAGATTTACTGGAAAAGCAGAACTTCCAGTCATGCGACTGTCAGAGGGAGAACACATCTGACAAATTAGGAGAACTTAGTATTAGTAGAAGCAGTTTCAAGGTCTACGGTTGTTAATATAAGCTGTGTGATATGTGCTAAAATATGTACTCCAAAAAAATGCTTTTAGTGATACAGATTTGGAAGTGCTTTTTAATCTATTTGCTATCTGTACAGTTGGACAGCTTTCTCTATTGTACAGAAACTGCCTAATAAAACAATGACTTTTGTAGCTGCTTCTAACACACGTGCTACTGAGTGTCCAATACATAGTCCTATTTACCAAGTTGGTCATTAGAGCATTGTTATTTAAATTTAATATAAATCTAGTTTCGGTTTTGTAGCAATCTGTGAGCAACAACAAAATGAGTTATCACCTAAAAGCAGTCTTTATAAATGCAACAAGCTTTCTTTTGTCTTGTAACGTATGGATAGCCAGCGTAGCCAGTAGAAAAATGAGAACTAAAAGCAGTTCTGGGAAAGAAAGGTTAAAGAATGTGTTCCCTTCCCTTAATTTATTGTTCCATCCCTGTTCTGTACTTTTTAACTCTGATAAATGGCTAGGTGGGTAATGACATTGAGAGCCCACAGCAGACCTTCACTCTGAATGTTAGGAAGAGAAACTAACTGTTACTATCCAGTATTAAATACTTGATACTGTCTTACATGTGTATATGTATGATACTGATATCTGAATACAAGTTAAATGTTTTTATTAAGTTCATCTCTGCTGTTGGATCTTTATAAAGACATTCTGTGACTGCTGCATTTCCCCATCATGCTATAAATACGGTAAATGTAATTATAAGCCATAACTAATTTTGTGAGTAGTTAAAACATTTGAATACAGTCAGATTCCTAAAAGACCCTAGTGCAAAGTTCGGAGGCTACATTTATGAATCAAACTAAAACCCTGTGGGAAGATAAAATCCCTACAGGAATACAAATCAAGTCAAGTATTGAAACACCTGTAAAGAAACAGAAAACACAACCTTGCGTGTGAAATCCGTGACATATCAATAGACATCATAATAGGTAACAACTGTGTTGACTAAAATAAATAGGGCAGGAAAAAATTGAACTAGTGGCAAATGAATTGTGGTCAGCACTGTGAAGAGCTTAGGAGGTTTTTCTCTTTGTTTTATATTTCTCACCACCACTGGGGTGCTTCTGCAAAATAGGGAGGAAGATGAAATGTAGGATAAAACTTGGTAATGGCAGTATTAGTGCTGTATTTTATGTGTTTAATATCTCTTTATATCTGTGAGTCTCTATACTTGTTTTTCTCATATACAGGTAGATAAATTGTTAATATATAAGACATATTATAATAGTAATATAATCTTATGTAACTAAGTTTTATACATGTGTATATATGCACAGAGTGCTCATTTGTACATAAATGCAAAGCATGTATTTTCAGTTCTGCTTTTTTTTTTATTTTTCTGAGTTAAGGAAAAAGCAGAGAAATTTTGAAATTGATAATGAAAATGAGACAAAATCCTCAATTTGTCAGGAGTTAAGAAGACTGAGAAGGTATGAAGGACTATTAGAAGAAAAAAGAGTGAGGGTAGAGGAAATTCTTTCATAGTGTAAGAGCAAGGGGCCTGTAATTCTGAAAAACAATAGTTTCGAATTTTTTGTAAGAGAAATACACTTAACAGTACCTAAACATAATACCTAGGACTTGCTTCTTAGGAGGCCTTGAAGTTTAAAAGCTTAGTGGGACTTAAAGTCTTATGAAAGAAGGGCATTCACATATGAATTCTTAAGACAACTAGTTACTTGAGAATAACAAACAGTCCCTGTAGTGTCTCTGCACTAGATTTAGTTCACAGTCTTTGAAACCTCTTGTGCTATTTGCTGTCAGATATCTGGACTAGGTGTCATTGAAGGGTCAGTTTCATTAGTTGCTGGATTTTGGCTTCATGCAAAAAGTTTTTATACTCAGAAAGCTTGATTTTCTGAGAAATCATAGACATTTGAAATATTAGTTGCTGTACTTCATAGGTGCTTATGAATTATGTGCTTTGACAAAAGGCAGAAGGAAATTGAAAATATTCAGCAAATTACTGCTTTTGCTCTTGGTTTTGCTTATTGAGCAACTACTCTAATTTTATGTCTATATCATATTGCCTGTAGGAATAATCTGCTGCTGGTTTAAGATGTTAATGTATGGGGTCTTGTGTTTGTACAGAAAACTGTTTCGTACCACTCTCGGAGATCATTGCTGTAGAAGAAACGGAACTTAACAAGAAACAACGAAATAGTGGCAAATGGCAAAAAATGGGAAAGCCACATGCTTTCACAGGTAAGGCAAATAGATAAATACATCCCTCCCCCTCCCCCCAAAAAAACCCCGATCCCAAACAATTAACACCCCAGAAAAAAACAGTGAAACAACACAAAAAACCCTACCCAAACCAAACAGAGAACATAAAAAAAAACCTAACAAAACAACCAAACCCCCCACAAACAAACAAAACCACGTCTGCCCGTTTACATCTAAAGCTTCTTATTTTGGAGAATAAACCCCTTCCTTTAAGAGCACTTGCTGGGTTTAGTTCTTTAGCAAAGCCCAAACATCTTACATTTTAGCTGCTGAATGACTCTGCAGCAACATACTCGCTTTATGTTACTTGACTAGAAAATCAAGAGAGGCTGGAAAAATGAGTCCTACATGTTTGTGGTTTTAATGTTTGGGTTCAGAATGCGTGCGTGAGAAGGTTCGCTGTATTATTGACTACATTCTTAAAATCAAGTGCCAGAAATAGATTTCTGTTTGGTTTGGGGAAAGAGTGGTGACTTCTGTGCTGCAAATGTGGTTGCTCCCATGCCAAAACTTTATGTTGTGGAATACTTTGATCGCACTTAGTAGTTCAGTAACAATGATTGCTGATACTGTAGATGGAGAGATAAGGGTACTTCTTGTCTCACCAGCCTAGTTCTTAATGCACGAGAGAACTCTAAATATTTTTTTTCCCCTTAAATTTCAGCTGTATAAAATTAAATTCATCCTGTTGGTTACATGGAAGTGGATGTGACCGTTTCGGCTTGTTCTCTTAAGCTTATGGCAATTTATATTATGTAGACATTAATATGGATAAAATAATACATAAACTCAGTGAACTTTTATGTTATGTCTATAATTAGTTTGTGGAAAATGGATCGTATTTGGTTTAAAAAAAAGAAGTTTATGTTTGAGATTCTGCTGCAAGGTAATGACCTAGAGCAGTCTTTTCATCATGACTTTTTACAGACGTCCTGTTCACACTCTAAATGCTTTTGTCATTAGCAGAAATGTGTGGTGGGGGGTTAATTATCACTTCTTTCCAAAGGTAGATATTTTGGCTGTTTCTCAGAAATGCATTGGTTATTTCACAGAACTGCCTCATTGTACCAATTTATTTTTTTTTCTTTTTTTAATTTAAACAGTTTATTATGTGAAGAAAGCTCGAAATCACCGCTGGCGGTGCAGTGATGTGACATTTTGGTGTGCTGATGAGCACTTGTGTAATCAGTGGATACAGGCACTGAAAGAATTACTTGAAATGCAGAGTAAGTTTGACTAAAATACTAACATTTTCAGCATCATTTTACGGGCTTGTATCTCAGTTCCTATTATTCTGATGTATCTGCAGCTTATGTTTAAAAGTTGAGGGAGCTGAGAGTTGAAGTGTCTCATTCTTCTCATCACTGCTTTTGTATCTCACATATTTGCCAAGTTGTGCAGTGTTTTACTCTAATCAGTCAGGACTACAGGTATCTTACAGTTTTGCTCAGATGAAAGTTATTGTCACAAAATAAGGACACATTGGAGGCTTACCAGAGGCTTTAAATAAGAGAAGTAAAAGGCAGATGTAAGCTTAGACATGTGAGGTACTCCAGAGATATGAGGAGAAGGATTGTAACAACTGTAAGATTTATGGGTGGCTTTTTGTGTGTCTGTCTAACCTTTCCAGTCTCTCTCATCAACAATGTGCTGCAGTAAGAGCTCCCATTAATCATTTCTGGGACTCTTGGACAACTACTTCTCGTAAAGCTAAAAGGAGTTTTGCAGGAGTTATTCCTGAGAGATACCTTGATAGATGTCAGAGAGTGGCAGGATAGAATGAAGATCAAGGATGACCATACCACAGGCAGTGCCCTCACCATCCAGCATGCAGTACCACTGTATCTATGCAGGGTGGAGTAGCAGTGGGTCAGATTTACTGTTCAGATGAGATAATCGGGTCCACCCAGGGAGGCCAGATGGGAGCAGCAGAAGGTGGAGGTGGGACTATAGGTAAGCTACCTACAGCATAGGCCTGAGGTCCATCTGAGACAGAGGTGGAGAAGGGACTGGGTACAAGTACACCTACGATGTGACTCAAGCAAGTACTTGAGGCTCACATATGAAAAATGTACATTTAAAAATAGATGTTCTTTTGAACAGGTATTGTAAGCATGCATCTTACCTCATGTAATGTATGCAAATCAAGAACATTAGTATCTCTCTTATAATAAAATATTATTAAAAATGGGGTTTATGCACCAATTTAGTACATCTGTGAGAGATGTGGCCTGGGCAGTCATCTTTGTTTAAGTGCAAGTGTTAGTTCTATTGGTATCAAACTATTTCAGAGAAGGTAACAGGTTCCCAGAGAGGGTGAATGATGCTTTGGATGTGTGGCAGCTTTAAGCTTTTCAAACATTCTGGATTTATTATGTAGGTGTGCTGGCTTAACTCAGTTATTCTTTCCTTTTAAAATAATTATTTGAATTCTACCTGAGGAAATGTGAATGCGTTAACAGGTCTTTGTGCTCTATCAAAAAAAAAAATTAAGGCTCCTGAGGTGCAGGAAGCATTACAATTTTGTGTATCTGTTAGTAAAGAGGTGTAGTAATTGTTTTCATTGCTACCACCATTTACATAATCTATAACTACTTGGACAAACTTGAGATAACAGTATCAAAGGTGGTTTCTGGAGGGAAGGGCTTACACACTATAAGGCAAGCACTTGCTGTGCAGTATGTAGTTAGTGAGATATTTCCTTTCCGTGATAAGGACACTATCTATATTACAAAAGCCAAGAATGTTGTTTAAATAAATTAATGTAAAATCATTTCTATGTGCGCTTCACTCACCACTGCTAAAAAGTACTATTGCTGCCTTTGGTTTGCCTTTTGTCTTGTATGCCTGTGATACTAATGTAATTTAATGGGAAAGTTCTGCAAGAATAACATAATTAAGAATGCAAGACATGGTCAGATGAAATTATTCTGAACTTCACCTTCTGTCTTCTTACCAATTTGTTTAATGCTGTCAATATCCTCAGTATAATAAAGAGGATAGATGAAGCAGGTTTTTATAGCACTTTGATAAAGATTTATAGAGTTGCAATTGTTAATAAAGAGTTATAAAAGGTTAGTGTGCTGTGTTCACTCTGATGTTTACAGGTTTGGTTTTGTATAGCTTCTTAAATTTGTTTTGTGAACAGAAGTAGTATATTGTAATATTTTTTCCATACTGCAGAATCTAGACCAAAGCAGTTGCTTGTGTATATTAATCCTTATGGAGGAAAACGACAAGGGAAGAGGATTTATGAACAGAAAGTGGCTCCACTCTTCAGTCTGGCTTCTATCTCCACTGATGTTGTTAGTGAGTGATGAATATTTTAATTTATTAATAAACACAATATGAACTCTTTAAAACACGTATGGGTACCTGAAGTTCTTCCTGTTTCTTACCTTTTCTTACTAAGAAAATGAAGCTAAGTGTTGGGGGGAACTGTTTTCTAATTAAAACATAGCTAGCCAGAAAATGTCAGCCTTATATCAATTTTCTGCTTACCAAACTAAAATTTCTGGTACTTCTGAGCTATTTGAGCTCTTCATTTATATGATGCTGCCTTTCTTCTCTCTTCTAGTTTCACTGTTAAAACCAGTTTTCATTTGTACAGTATCGTAATGAAATACTCACATGTACTGCAGTGAGTGTGTCTTTCAAATCTTTACTTGGCACACAGTCCTTTGAAATACATTTTATGGGCAAGCTGTTAAGTCACATTGGTAATAGAATCATTATGAATAGAATTGTAATTCATAATAAAATGTCTATAACTATATTATATATCAATGTATTTATATATAATTTTTAATGTGTTTATTTCTTCATAGTAACTGAACATGCTAACCATGCTAAGGACAATCTATTTGAAATTAATATTAATAAATATGATGGGTAAGTAACCTCACTTGCCTTTTTTTCTAGTTGATATATTCTGTGATCTGTTCTTGTATCTAATTTATAAAAGTACCCTTCATTGCTGATAGTTTATTGCAACAGCTGAAAATTCTGAGGCATGTATCTTTCCATAGATCCACATTAAGGAGTATCAAAGGAAAACTAACCTGTTTCAGTAAACCTGTTGAACACACAGTAGTTTCAAGTGTAGTATCACAATGTTTTCATGAGATCTGTGTTCAGAAAATGAATGTCAGATTAATTCTGCTTGTCCAGAAGTTGAGCATTTGCTGATAGCCCTAAAGCTACTCTGAAATGTTTTGTGGTAAAGGTGATCTTGATATAGACATGGGTCCAGAACATTGCATTAGTAGCATTCAGCTTGTGTATGAAAAACAGGAACCGTTTATAAAAGCTTCACATAGTTCCTCTTGCTATATAGGACTGTTCAAATAACGGCTATGTAGTTTGGTTTTATTTGTGTTTGTTCTGTTGTGAAATTACTGTTTTAAAGAAGACCTAATTGAATTGTGAAATTGCATTCCATTATTAAATCTGCTGTAGAAGGAGAGTATTTTAATAAATAAGCTAGTCATTCAGCTTCCAGTTCATGACATGAAGCAAGTTACATAGCTGGAAAATCATGCAAATGTATGGAGAACCTATGTAGATAAGCTGTTATAACTAGAGAATATAAAGATAGTATTTTGTTGTGCTTGTTGACAGGTACATTTAAACTGGTAAGTTGCAAAAATGAAACACATTGTATCTTTTCGGAGTACTTTTACTGGGGGAGCAGATCTATCTGCATTATAGAAGACAGGTGAGGTCATGATGTTGATAAATTGTGGAAGTAAGAAACTACATTTACAGGCTTTGTTCCTAGACTACTCCCCCTCCCCTTTCTGAGGGGTGGGGTTTGGTCTTTCTCTAACATGACTGAGCTTAACAATTGGCCAGGGCACTGCATCGTTTTAGGATCTCATTATTCTTCCATCCTCAGTTTAGGCCTTAGTGGCAGTCAGCCTGGGAACTACAGCCTGTCTTTCCAAGCCTAGTTTTTGTCCATCACATACAAGTGTGTTTCTGTGGTGAACAGTGATGTTGGGAAGGAGTTCTTGTATTAATACTATTTTTTTAAATAACAGATCACATAGCTATATGGAAGGTTTTAAAAATGGCTGAACTGCATAAATACACGTTTCTCCAAGTTTGACTGACTCCTTACATGTGCAGGAAAAGCTTCTTTGGATTCCTACATCTAATTGTTGTTCACCTATTTTCTTAGATTAGCTCTTTCTTGTCATTCAGTGATGAGTTTCTTCATTTAATCTCCAAAGAAATCTCCAAAGAATTTCTTATGGCAAGTGTACCGATCTAAAAGCTCAGTGGCAGAACAGCTTCTCTTCAAAGACAGTTACTTCAAATATTCATTCAGTTGCAATATAGCAGGTTTTCATACATTGCTGTGTAGAGCTACAGCATGCTGTAATATTATGCAGGTATTGTCCATGTTTAGAATAAGTCTGGCATGTATGAATCACTTCCTTGCCCATATACGTACTGCACAAGCCTTTCTAAAACTGTTTCAGGTTGGTTTTTTTTTTTTTCCTAGCTTTTGAATAGTTCACAGAATGGTTGAGATTAGAAGGGATCATAGATCTTTTAAAACTCGTTTTTCTTGTGGGCTCTCCTGAAGTCTTTTGGCATATGTAGTTTACTGTTACCATCTGTCTAAAAATTGAAATGCTAGTCCATTAGAAAAATAAAACCAGAACGTAAGAATTGCTCTAAGAAGCTCTCTCTTACAGTAGCTCTTTGCTAGGGGCTTTCACGTGCGTGCTTTTCACATCTGATTTTTGCTTTGAGTTTGGTCATGCTGATATTGTGTATGTGAACTTCTTTATCTGATAGGTCTAGACATTAATATTGTTGTCATCTCTCAGCCTGGATATAGTATTTGTTATAGATAGTTCAAGGTCAATGCTGTCTCAGTAGTGTTCTGACATGGGAATTTTTGTCCACTCAACCTCTTTCTTAGAGTCTGCAGAGAAAGATGAGACTGTCTAAAGCTGAGGAATAATGTAGTTAAGCTATGAGATGATAAATTCATTATAAAAATGAAAAACAAACATCCTTTCTTCCTTCTCTCCCAGTCTCTTAGGTCTTGACTCAGAATTGGACAGTGTGTATTTTTAAGACTGTCCTCCCCATTCATGAAAAAATGACTGGGGTTTTTCAAGCTTCTGCTGAAAATACAATAATAAGTAGACTTAAATCATCAATACTTACAAACTAAATAAATTAACTTGTCCTATGAACAAGTGCTCATTCTGCAATGTCTGTTGCTGACTATGTGGAAGAGTAAGTATTAGCTTATGCACTGAAAATGATTTCTATAGATAACAGTATGCATTCCTAAACATGTGTGCTGGGGACTACCTGCATAGCTTTGAATTTGTCATGTGTGCCTTTCAAATGTATTTGAAATAGTTTATGTTTTTGGAGTTCATGGTGTCCATTTGATTATTGTGCATGAAACATATATTGCTGTAAAATAGTCTTTTACTTCCTAGCATTTGCTTGGCTGTGGACTCTCTGCTGAGCTTTAACATATTGTGGATCTGTGTAGCTGCTGCATCAGCTCTGACCTGAATTAAGTTTGCAAAACGAAGTTTTGCATTTGGTAGCATCTAGAACACTGCATTTCACTATGGGTGGTTATGTAGATATACATGACTTCTGTCTGTTTGGGCTCTCAGCATGTTCAAAAGAGAATGCAAGCATGCACTTTTCTGGTTTTTGACTTTTATATAATATATATCCTATTAAATTAATAGTGTAAAGTATACTTCTGCCTGAAGCCACAAATATTAGCTTAATTTTTCACTATTAGTAAAGGTATGCTATTTCCATTTTATTTACTTGGAAAGCTGTATGTACAGTCCTGTTCAGTGTTTCCCATGTATAGTGAATTTCCACCAATCCTTGTCTGTCTGCACACAGCAATAGAGGATAAAGATATTAGGTTGCATTCCAACATTTTTTTCTACCATTACAGACATGTGTAGGTGCCTTTGCAGTTGTGTAGCTTGATTGTAACTGCCAAGTTGACTGTAGGCAACTATATCACATTAAAAAGGAAGAGAAGAATAGACCAGCTATTTTTGATGTGCCCAGTGCATGCCCTAAGTAGAACACTTGCTGTGTTGTTTATTGACTGTTAGTGTGCATTCTAATTTGTGTTTCCTGGCAGTGTTGTTTGTGTTGGTGGGGACGGCATGTTCAGTGAAGTGATGCATGGTCTCATTGGAAGAATGCAGAAGGACTCTGGCATAGATCAAAATAATCCCAAAGCACCATTAGTCCAGTGCAATATAAGGATTGGCATAATTCCTGCTGGTAAGAAAGGGTTAACTTTCAGTTTACTTTATTCATTTATTCTTGAAATTTCTTCTTATTCATAACTTCTTGAATTTAGGTGTAAGATATGAGCAATGATATTCCATAAAGACACATAGCTAAACTGTTTGTATCCTGGTATAATTATTGATCACATGCCATTTTATTTGGGAGGGGTATTTTGTGAAGGAAATAATCTTAATGTGCAACTTTAGAATGTAATTGCTACTCCTTTTGAGTGTGTGTGGCTTATTGTGTATTAATACAAGATAAGTTGTTGAAAATAGTACCTTTGCTCATCTGAACATAGTGAGTGAAATCTACTGAACAGAGACTTACCTGATAAGTATTTCTCCAGTTCCAAGTGCTCCACAGATTTAGTTAGAATTGTACTGAGAACCTCCCACTAGTCTGGCAAACTCCAAAAACTGCTAACGTTTCCTCTCTCTCTCTTCCCCGCTTCCCGTTGTCATCACAGAAATCAAAGGGCGGTTATGTCTGAGGAAGAGTCCTCAAGTTCCAGACCAAGTTGCAGTTTCTGCCCCTTTTTAGAGGTGCTATATCTTCACAGTTCTCCATGTCCATGTCAGCTGATTTTTCAGATGGTCCTGACTATTGTCATTGAGAGGCATTTGAGGAAACTCATCCTTGAAATTTGGATCTCTGGAGATAAACTTACAATTTTATTGACCATAGGCACTCTTTGTATCAGTCTTGTTAAATTTGGTGTCTCAGGCGTTACTTCACCCTGCCCAATTGGTCCCTAAAGATTCCTCAAAGAATGAACTTACAAGATGACTCTTTTCCATGACTAGATTCATTGTTGCAGCTCATTAATAGTATCTGCAATTCTGAGTACTCTGTGAAGACAAATGGACAGTTCAGTGTCTTTTCTATGCTATTCTCTTTCTTGTCAGATGCTTGGGATTTGAATTAAAGAACTGTGATATGAAATAAACATTATGAGCTTCTGACTAGAACTATAACACAGACTTTATGAGAAAATTTAGCACAGGTTATAAAAATACACCAAGTGAAATAGTATATTTGTACCCTCAGGCTTTAGGTGACTAATTTTATACTTGTATCTTTGTGAAGAATGTATTCAAACCCAAACAGTCTGAATTGTTGCTTGGAAGAAGCTTAACCCTTTCTGCTTGCAGTATAACAACAGTTAGATATCTAAAAGTTCCAATGTGGATATCCCCTTGCAGTTTTTCATTCTGCTTTTAAGGTAGCACACTAAGGGTTCTTTATGGCATTTATTATATATAAGTATATTCTGATTTTGTTTTTTAAAGCTTTGGATTAAAATTAGTTTGTATAGTAAGCTTAACAAGCATAGAATTTGAAGTGCTTTATCCTTTGTTTCCATTATTTGGGCAAAGTTCTTGGACTAATGTTTTTTGCTTACATGGTTGATTTCAGAAGATTTTGCCTACTTGTGATATTAGAGACCATAATTGGAGACCAATTGAAAAAACAGAACCTCAATATTAAGATCTGTTTCCTTGGGTTTAAGAAATTAACTATAAGCATGTTAAAATTGGAAGATTAACCTTGTTTTTTCAACAATTTCTTAAGGCATTTTTTCCAGACCCAACCAAAATGTATGATCTTCACTGATATTTTAGTATGACTGCCATGCATTAAGTCACTTTCTTCTCTTACATACTTCAGTATTTATCTGCTTTGTCCACTGTAGCTGTTTGCTATTGAGTGTATACTGCATGCTTCATTCCTTGAACTAACATGAGGTGCAGCCTTGTAATCAGTGCTGTGTTTCAAGTATTTTCTCCATGCTGAAGTTCTGTTAATTAAGTTTCTGGAGGTACAGAGGATAATACATATCTTGATCTGTTTGTATATTGTACAATATTTAAAATGATCTGTTACTGAAAATATGGGAAAATGTTTATTTACTGAAAAAGGGAGTCAAATCACTGAACAAATTAATCTTAACTCTTTCTTAACACATGTAGTCATCACAGGGACCTTAATTGTATATGAAATAGCCAAACCCATGCATTGCAGATGGTCAGGAAGGCAGCAAGAGGGTTTTTTTTTTTCCAGTCCTTGGTGAAGCTGTTCTCAGTTCATATTTGCTTGATGTAATGGAGCTCTGACTGTGTTGACCCCAACAGATCCTGTAGTTCCCTGACTAGTGTAAGAAGTCTGTTCCAAAGTAAGTGAGATCATTAAAAACTACTTTTTTTTTTTTTTAAACTAAACTGACAGTCCTAAAATACAGCAAGTCAAAAGGAATAATGAAATATAAACCATGCTTTTAGAAAAATTTCATCCATGATGCTCTTTTTAGTCCTTTATAACCAACCTTTTTCTAAAAATCCTAAGATCTCATTAATAGATATTGAAAACAAACCCATAGTTCAGAGAATAAGTTCAGTGAGGACAGGAGCCTCAGGTAAGGTGGCACTGAATTGGTGTTTTTCCCTTTTTTTTTTCATTTATTTCCTAATGTCAGGCTGTGTTAACAGGCATGGCAGGTTGTGGTTTGCGGTTGTGATTAAACAGTGTCTGTATTCAAACTAACAGTTCAGCAGACTTAATCTTTGCTCAGAAATTGTCAATTTACTTACACAAAGGCTTGAAATTACAAATGAAAGAGATTTAATGTTAAATAGCTCTCTTCTATATAACCATTTCTGAGTAATTGGCTCTATTTCATAAGCAGAATCCCATTGTGCAGGCTCTTTTTTCCATATTAATGTTGGATGCTGCTTCTAAATCATGACTGACTTTCTGGAGCAAACCCTGCTTGGCCCTCTTTTCTTTTCCTTGAACAAATGTGTATCCTTAGTGTGTTTTCTGGTTAAAAAGTATCATTTATTCTTGTGGTTTATGGTACATTTTTATGAAATAACTTGTGTTTTTATTGGCATGAATAAAGCTTTTACTCAAATAGTAGTTTTAAATTCTGAATTTCTCTTAGTTGCAGCCAGTCTTCTAATCTGCCAGTGTAAGTTGACTGAGTTCTGTTGTAAACAGCCTTACTGTTAAAAGTACTTAGAGACTGTAGCAACCTAACAAAATTTTGCATTGCGATGTGGTAACCACAAGTCAGCACAGCTACAAAAACTTCTGTTTAGTTATTACTTCCTCTTAGTGTCATCTAGCCTTAAAAGCACATTCAGCCACAGTTTCTTACTGCATTCAGAGTGGTAGAGTGCCTCTATATAATTTAAAAACAGAAAATCATTTCTGTTATGACACGTGGTACTGTGGTTTCATCCACGTGTTTTAGTTTTAAAATTATACTCTCTGGAGCAAGCGGAAGTAATTTGTTGTTCTCACTGAACTCAGCACAGAACAGGAGGACAAAGCTGTCAACTGCTGTTGGAGGACTGTTTAGTAAAAGAGCCTGGGTTGGATTAAATACTCTTGTGATCTCAGTAGGCAGGACAAAGAAATCTCACTTCAGTCTGTGCCGTGGCATATTATTAATGCATTTGTTCTTCAAAAAACAAATAAGTTTGCAAGTCTACCCTAGGGATAGGGGGAAGATCTTCCTTGCACTAGGGAAGATGGAGTGAAGTGTAGATACAAAGTGTGAATTGATATACTGAATTAGGTATGTAGTGTATCCAGATCCCTCTCGTTTTCATTGTGGTCAAGGTATAAACTAATGGATTGAAGCATGCAATGTAGTTATAATCAGCACGTTGATGTGTGGCTGTAGAAGTTGAGAATACTAAAGATAGTACAGGAAGGTGTACAAACTCTTGAGTAGGGCGATGACTGTATGCCCAGGCCATTCATCTCTCCCTGTAACAGCAGCTTCCTCACTTACTTTTGAATGTGTCAGATCCTTGTCATTTGAAAGTCACTTCCTGGAAAAGTCATGGTATGGATTTTTTCAAAATTCTCAATGCTGCTTGCCCAAGAGCATGCGGTTACTCAGTCATTAGCGTGACTCAGCTGGTATTTTATCGATGAGGTGACGGCGTGGATTGTGACTTCACAAAAATACTTCAAATGTATGGGATCCCCACCGAAGTAATTTTACCTGTTTGCAGTACAGAATCCTGTTGCCATACTAATTTATCTCTGAGGATTCTGTTTGTGCTGTGGAAGCACCTGCCCTTGTCAACGGTATCTCATATGAAGCACTAAAAGTATTTATTTCTTTACTAAATTTACTCTTTTCTATAGCATCAACATCTAGCTGAATTGCTTCTGTCATATGCTCAGTTTAGGACTTCCAGTTCTTTGAAATCTATGCAGTCTTCCATCAGTAAAAGCACAAAAAAGAGACCTTGAAGCCCACAGCATGTGTGTGTTCTGGTTGAATAATTTTTCAGATGAGTAATTCCAGCACTTTGGGGATTCCGTTTTTGTTTGGTGGTTTTGTTTCTACGTTTGTTTTTTTGGTTGGTTGGTTTTGGGTCTGGTTTTGGGGGGGGGGGGGGGGGGTGAGAGGGTTGTCTGCAGCATCAACAGCATGAACTCTTTGTACGACCAGTAAATCATCAGATTTTGTTTATTGCTTTGGTGGTTCTATGAGTAAAGCTAGCGAGGTGGTATCTGAGCACCTGTCTGTGTAACTTGCCTACTCACAAATAACTTAGCAATATTTGCATGCAAAGGGGAAATCTGGGGATTTAGCTGTGCTGTATTCTATATAGTGCAGTCCATCACTTTGCTTTCTTTAATCTTGCAAAAATGGTTTGTGGGGAGTACATACTCTTTAATATTTTAAATACATATCTCAATCATTTCTCCTTATGATTAAAAAGAAGGACTTCCTTGATAATTTTTTAATTACTAAATTGATTTGTTTAAAAAAAATAGTGTTTAAGTTTGGGGAGGGAAAAGATGTAGAAGAGCTTGCCTATAAAGAACTATGTGGCTCTGTGATAACTCCTAATAACAGACAGACTTTAGCTAAAATGGGTAATGAAACTGGGCTCTAGTATACATAATACATGGTAAAGATTCAAAGTAATTATATGTATTTTAACAAAGACTAGTCAGTTTGCCCTCTACACACTTCATATTTTCAGTAAGCTCTTAATACCAAAATACCTGGGATGAGAGCTTTCTTTAGGTGGGAGAGTTTGGACATTTAGTTCGGGATTCAGCTATCCACATGTGGTGGTATGGTGCCACTATCATTGCAACGCACTAGCCCTATGCAAGACAACTGTTGTGCTAGAGTAGCAGCTGGAAGCCAAGCAGAGTAATCTGCAGCACTCCCTTTAGGGTGAGTTACAATTTGAAATTGATAATCAAATTTTCTTGCTTATGTTTAGGTGTCTGCAGGTAAGATGAGCACCTAAATCCATGTTGTAGCAGGGGTAATCTGGTCAGTACAGGTATTAGAGCCTGTAGAGTATTCAAGACCCACCTGTTGGTCTAGAATTCCTGTTTGGTTATGAAGTATTCAAAGAGATTCAAATCTTTAGTCATATGAACATTTTAGTGACCTTTAAACTAGTGCTGCTAGATTCATGCTTGGTGTGGTGTTATGACCAGTTATATTCTATTAGAATGTACGTAAGGAATGATGCTGGTTTTGTTGCCGCATGCTACCAGCCCTGAGAGAGAAAAAAAACCCGGTATTTTACTGTTTGTGCTTGGTACTCCACTGGCACGTCTGGGAAAGAGGAATGATTTGGCAATTGTTAAACACTGTTGGTGTCTTCCCCAGCCTCCTATTCAGAATCTCAGAATTAATTTCAGACTTCAGATCTAACTTTAACCCTCCCTTGCTAGTTAACAAATGGAAATTAAAATAAGTTCTATAAAATTGCCCAACAGATAAATCAGCTTTTAATTGACTACAGAATGCTACAGGGAGATAAGCCTTCAGTCTAAAATGTAGCTTGAGTGAACGCCCCTCTTCTTCTACCTCGGCAGGGTGTCCCTGCCCATGGCAGGAGGGTTGGAACTAGATAATCTTAAGGTCATTTCCAACCCAAACTATTCTACGATTCTATAGTGTAAGACTGCGGAAAATTTGCTTACATCAAGACAAATGTGACTTAAGGTAATTCTAGAAGCAGAATGCAAACAGATCTTGAAGAAATGAGAAAAGTTGGATGAAATGTTGTAAAAGTTCAGGTCAGACCTTTTAGTGGCTACTTCTAGTGGCTATTTTAGAATCATAGAATAGTTAGGGTTGGAAAGGACCTTTAGATCATCTAGTTCCAACCCCCCTGCCACAGGCAGGGACACCTCACACTAAACCATCTCACCCAAGGCTTTGTCCAGCCTGGCCTTGAATACTGCCAGGGATGGAGCATTCACAGCCTCCCTGGGCAACCCATTCCAGTGCCTCACCACCCTAACAGGAAAGAATGTCCTCCTTGTATCCAATCTAAACTTCCTCTGTTTAAGTTTGAACCCGTTACCCTTTGTCCTGTCACTACAGTCTCTAATGAAGAGTCCCTCCCCAGAATCCCTGTAGGCCCCCTTCAGATACTGGAAGGCTGCTCTGAGGTCTCCACGCAGCCTTCTCTTCTCCAGCCTGAACAGCCCCAACTTCCTCAGCCTGTCTTCATACGGGAGGTGCTCCAGCCCCTGTTCATCCTCGTGGCCCTCCTCTGGACTTGTTCCAACAGTTCCATGTCCTTTTTATGTTGAGGACACCAGAACTGCACACAATACTCCAGGTGAGGTCTCACAAGAGCAGAGTAGAGGGGCAGGATCACCTCCTTTGACCTGCTGGTCACGCTCCTTTTGATGCAGCCCAGGATACGGTTGGCTTTCTGGGCTGCAAGTGCACACTGAAGCCGGCTCATGTTCATTTTCTCATCGACCAACACCCCCAAGTCCTTCTCTGCAGGGCTGCTCTGAATCTCTTCTCTGCCCAACCTGTAGCTGTGCCTGGGATTGCTCCAACCCAGGTGTGGGACCTTGCACGTGGCATGGTTAAACTTCATGTGGTTGGCATCAGCCCACCTCACAAGTGTGTCGAGGTCCCTCTGGATGGCATTCCTTCCCTCCAGTGTATCAACCGAACCACACAGCTTGGTGTCATCGGCAAACTTGCTGAGGGTACACTCAATCCCACTGTCCATGTCAGCGACAAAGGTGTTGAACAAGACCGGTCCCAGTACCGATCCCTGAGGGACACCACTCGTATATTTATTTATTTTTCTTTTCAAAAGTAGTGAGAATTTTTTTTCTGCTTAATGGAAATTCACAAGTGTAGAAGGCAAAATGAAACTGAAAAAAAATGGCAGTAAAGCATAGCTTCAGTATCTGAACTCTACTGAATATTTTTGGCTATAAAACGCTAAATGTGGCATAATAACATCATCTGAGTACCTTTTCTGTTGCAATACTGAGAGAAATTGGAGTCCCATTTCCTGTGCAACAGCTTATACTTTTAGTGGTCCACTTGCACCATTTTGAACCTCAGCCTTGTAGAGAGCATACATTTGATTGATAGAAGCTTCCCTCAATACCCTTCTCTGGTATGGGGAAGTGGTGTCTATTTCCTGGGAGTTGGAGTGGGAAGGATTTTCTTTGCTTCTGTTGACAGCTGTATATGCCCTGACTGTTTTCAAAGCGAGAAAGAACTAAAAGTATCGTTTTAAATAGTGGTTGTTCATGCCTCCACTTTTAGTTTTCTATTTCAATTTGATTAGGCCTCAGAAATGAAGTATGCTGTATCTGAGCTGCTCTTCAGCTAGTATATTAGTAGCAAATCTGAGAACCTATATGTGGACAAAGTAACTTTGTTTTCTGATATCCAGCCTTGGCTTTAAAGAAATTCAATTTCAGGGAAGGGATGGGAGAAGCTACAAGATGAATTTGGAGTTAGGTGTTGCAACGAGTGTGCTTTGGTATGTCTGGCCCCAACTTGCAAGTCCCTGCTGCAGAACAGAAATCAGAACCCTACATTAGGCTCTTAGACTGCTTTTTATAGGGATCAGGGAGAATTTCCTGTCTCTAACCAGCACCTAAAATACTGAATGGATGTACTGACTTCAGAATTGCCTGCAGGTAGTTATTTACAAAGACAGAATATAGGTGAAATCTAAAGCTTCCCCTCTTTCTTCTTGTAGATCTTTTGTTCAAGACTGTAAAGGCATATCTCTATCCACTTTGCTCACCTATCTATAAACTAATTACTGAATGCAAGGATTTACTAATTTTCAAATAATGGAACTAAGCAGTAGTTTCTGGTTTAAGATGCAGCTGGAGGAGGAGAAGATGTTGGCAGCCTGGAATTTAGATCTGTCCCCCAAAAACCAGGATATCAGTTAATTTCTTTTCATGAGATCTCAGTGACTAAAAAATTTTGAGGAAAGGAGAGTCAGCATCTGCCTTCCTTCCCCTCCACCCTTAAACACTTTAAAAGCTGTAATGTAATCCTGATTTATTTTTTTTTTTCATGTGAATTAACTTATTTCCCTTCACTAACTGCTATATATTTATTGGTTATGTAGTGAAAATATTTGTACTTTCTATGGAGAGAAACAGCTCTACTTATTGCAGGGGAGGAGAGGGAGAAGGAAAGGTACCTTTTAATTCATAATATTGGTATCCTTGTATTTACTTTGTTCCATAAAATAGAAAGGGGCAAGCCAAAGGAACATAGTGCTTTAGTTTGGAGAACTGTGCCAATAATAACTTGTTTTGAAAGGGTATTAATTAATCTCTAGTTGTTTATTTTTCAGGATCAACAGACTGCATATGCTATTCAACTATTGGCATTTCTGATCCAGTGACATCAGCTCTTCATATTATTGTAGGTGGGTGATCATAGTTCACTGTTTTGTTATGAAAATGGTGAACATAGCCTAACCCCCTAATTCATTTAGGTCTTTCTGTATGTCTGTGAAATACAATTTGAACATAATGGCTGAGTTGAAATATAAAATTTTTGTCTGCAATTTAAGCGATTTGGAATACAGGAGGTTAAAAATAAATTGCTTTCTCCACTGTAATTCATTGTTTTCATGGGATCATAGTGTTTTGAAGCTTTATATCTGGTGCTGAAGTTTTCGACATTCTCGCATGCTTTTGAAAATAACAGTAAAATACAATAAGCAGTCTAAGTTATTGCACACTTTTTCTTTTCCTTCCTTCCTTCCTTCCTTCCTTCCTTCCTTCCTTCCTTCCTTCCTTCCTTCCTTCCTTCCTTCCTTCCTTCCTTCCTTCCTTCCTTCCTTCCTTCCTTCCTTCCTTCCTTCCTTCCTCCCTTCCTCCCTCCCTCCCTCCCTCCCTCCCTCCCTCCCTCCCTCCCTCCCTCCCTCCCTCCCTCCCTCCCTCCCTCCCTCCCTCCCTCCCCTTAAAGAAAGCTATATGACAAGTGCATGCACACTTGAATAGTTGCATTTTGTATTAGTTCCCCAATTGTCCTGTGCAATTCAGTGCTTCCATGCCAAGTTTCTGCTTGCCTGGAATTAGCTGATAATTTCCCATTTTTACCATCTGTAAGTCATATATTTGAGGAGGAACTAGGGAGGAAAACAATTACTCTTCAGTAAATGTATTTTGACACATCGTCATCATTAGAGATGCTAACATTGCCACTTTTCGAAGTCCTCTAGTAATGGAGGACCTGAACTGCACGAGGGCTGAAGAAGGCAGCTTGGCTTATTCAGTCCATCCTATCTGCCACATGCTGAAGAACCACAGTCACCCAGTTGTTAATACTGAATTTGAAAAGTTGTGCAAGGTAGTCTTCAGTTCAGATGGTGATGTGTAAGCGTTAATGACCATTATTTCATTATCACTTGTACGCTTAACAGTTACAGGTTTAGGAACTGGTGTTGCGCAAGTTTACACATGTGCTTCTCTATTACTTACTTATGGTTAACTCTGTTCAGCGTATGTAGAGTTTAGGCCATTGGGCTAAATTTAGAGGGATGGATAGACTTTAGTTGGATTATTAAACAGAAATATACACACCCACTTACCCCACCCAAAACCACTACCACTCCAAAGCTTACTTTATGAGGACATCAAGAGGCAATATACGTTTTGTTCTTAGGGATTTTCAGAACTTGACTGGGTAAGCCCTGCATAACCTGATCTGATGTCATAGCTGAACCTGCTTGGAGTGAGAGGTTTGATGAGGAACCTCCTAAGGCCCCTTCCAGATTGAATTATCCTCTGATAGCATGACATATTGTCTCATAGAATGACATACAGGATTAAGTAGTATCCGGTAAATGTATAGCTCACTTTGATCCCTTCCATAACATCCCCACTTACTGCTACATGGTAAATGAATGTATATTCTTCATTATAATTTTTTAGCATTTTGACCTCTTCTCACTTAGTGTTTAATGCTTTTTAAATATTAGTGAAATTAGTATTAAAAATTATTTTCCCTTTCTGCATGTGTAAGCAAGATATGTGACATATATGACATACGTTATATATATATACATATATATGTATATATGACATAAATACAACATTTTTTAATATTTTTAGATTTTGTAGCATTAAAGTTACTATCATGTTTGCAGCTGCAAACGTAAGAAGTCTTAATACAGCCTTGCACTTCTCACTTTCATAGGTGACTGTCAGCCTCTGGATGTCTGTTCTGTACATCATAACAACACGTTTTTGAAGTACTGTGTGTCATTGCTGGGTTATGGTTTTTATGGAGATGTATTAAAAGATAGTGAAAAGAAACGGTGGATGGGTCCAATGAGATATGACTACTCAGGTAACTTGTGTCATTGCATTTTTTGTCAGCACATAAACGTATCAGAACAGTTGATGTTCTCTCCAAACCAACCTTCTCTGAAGCCTTTAAACATCAGAAACAGACTGAACCCGATTTTAAACTCCTTGTAGTACCACGTACATTGGATCACATTATGTAGAGGTTCATAACTTTGGGGACAATGTTTATAGTGCACTCCTTGAAGTTGTGTTGAATATATGTGACCTAGTGATATCTACCTAAGAAGTAGTATCTCTTCGGTGCTAATCATTTTGTCATTCTTTTCTGTCAGTTAAAGTTAAGAACACCTCTGTCTTGGACATTCAGGTGATGGAATGAATTGTTAATTTTGTTCTTCTTCCAGCACTAATCATAGAGATGAGCGGTTTAGCCTAGTTAGCCAATATTTGGATAAATTCTATACTACTAGAGAGTATGATTTGTCTTGTGTTAGGAAAAGAAGGTGCGGAAGCAGAATTTTAGTAGTATTAGGCCAATTTTAAGACTTGATAGTGATATATAGCTAAAAGGTTAGTTGGCTTTTGAAGATGTTGAGTAGTAATGGCACTGTTGGCAAATTTTAGAAAGTTGAGGGGGCTGCATCAAAAGGAGTGTGACCAGCAGGTTGAGGGAGGTGATTCTGCCCCTCTGCTCAGCTCTCATGAAGGTCCCTTTGAACCCAAACCATTCTATGATTCTGTGTACGCAGAGGTGTTTGCAATGTGGATTTATAATGATGTAATGCTGCTTAATATTTTTTTGTAGGCTTCAAGACTTTTCTTACTCATCATTACTATGAAGGAACAATTTCATTTCAACCAGCAAAACACACACTGGGATCTCCACGAGATAAATATACCTGCAGAACAGGGTAGGCTAATGTTTAACTCTGAATATCTGACATGCAGCCTGTACATAAATAGATGTCACAGAAATGTTGTTTGTAATATCAGAACACTTACTCTGAAAGACACAAGCTAGTAAAAAAGGTTTATTGACATTATTAAAGAGAGCACCATATTATTAGGTAAACAGAAATGTAAAATGTAGTAAGACTTTGTTAGCTGTTCCCTCTCCTCCCCCGGTTTTAAATGAGGAGCAGTGACCAGTATAACAGCATGGTACCCAGTTACAAGGTGCTGAGGGTATTGTGCTGTGTTAGTGTTGATAAATTTAATGTCTGGATGCCTCATGGCTTCTACAAATAGAAATAATTATTCAGAAGTTCTCAAATGTTCACACTGTAATTGGATCTAGCAATTTTGGTGGTTGTTGTGGTGCCACGACAACAGCTGGCATGGCTTGTTCTGAGGATATGTCCTCAGTAATCACCCTATTTAGCACTCTTTTTATAGACAGCTACAATGCTGTATAAATTCTGTGTGTTATTCTTCACTTGTTTCTTCAACCAGGGAACCTACCTGAATCTCCCAGTGTTCCTTCCTTTCTCTTTGCTTTCACCTGCTTGAAATTATGCAGCAGCATTTATTATTCCTCTTTATATATGAATGTATCTATCAGAGGTATAGTAGTTGTTACAGCAGCAAATGCTACAGCAGGATACCAAGGAGCCAGAATCTTTGTCCAGAAACTACATGGAAGTTGTTGAGATTCTGCTGTGTTAGTGCTATGACATACTGCAGATCAAGGTCTCCAGTACTAGCTGAATGAACTATTCTGACCCATCTGGTGCCTTGATGCAGGAGAAACTCCAGAGGGAGAAAGCTGTATCCAGGTCTCAGTCAGAGAGTAAAGAGTGCCTGCTGCCTCTTGTGGGATTTTATACATCCTGATAATTGTTGGAAGGGAAATAGGGCTGGGTACAAGCCATTTAGGAGTATTCTGGAGTGTGGTGATGGCAGTGATGGTGCAAGTGATTGACAAGTTGACCAGGACAAGTGCTCTGCTGGTCTTGTTACAGAAAAGTGGGGGATGTGAAAATTGAGAGCAGCGGTGACTGGGAGATTACAGAGTCTAAAATCCTGAGACAAGTAAGCAAGAAAAAAGAAGAGTTGCAGCTCTGAACTTTCAGAGAGCAGATTTTGGTTTATTCAGGAATCGTGGCAAGATTCCATGGGAGACTGCCCCAGAGGACAAAGAGGCCCAAGAGAGTTGGTAATTTCTCAAAGCAAAAGAGCAGCCCATTTTGATGTGCAGAAACTTGAATAAGAATGATTGATAGAAAACCAATATGAATGAGCAAGTATCTGAGAAGTAAAGGGGAGGTGCAAGTGGAATGGTTTACTTTGGAAGAAGCCAGAGACATAGCCTAAACACACAGGGATGGAGCTGACAAAGCCAAAGCTCAGGTGGAATTGAAATCAGTGAGTCATGTGAAGGGTGTTACTTCTTACAAAGGGATTATATAAGTATAGCAATCAAAGCTAAAGGCTAAAGGACCTGTGGGCCTGCTGGGGTATGTAGTATGGGGTACGTAGTGATAAAAGATAGGGAAAAGTAATAGAAAATTACTCCTTTGCCCCACTTTCCACTGATGTTGTCTTCTCCGAGGCTTTACCGGTACTTACGGGTACCAAAGGCCTATGGATGAGTGGGAACTTTATCAAGGCCTTTGGTATTGTTTCCTGTAGTATTCTTAAAACTAAAACGTTGAGATGTGGTCTAGATTAGTGGATGGGTAGAGAACTGGGAAGATTGTTAGAATGGTTGTGAGAACCAAGACCTGTTGGCAGCTGATTATTAATGGTGCTCCTCTGGGACCAGTACTGGCACTAATACTGTGCAATATCACTATCAGGGATTGGGATGGTGGCAGAGAGTGCACACTCAGCAGTTTTATGGATGGTACCAGATTGGAAAGAGTGGTTGACATGTTGAAAGTCAGGGCTGCTATTCTGAGGCCCCTTGGCTGAAGAAATGGCCAGTAGGAACCTGCTGAAGCTCAGAAGAGGTAAACATCATGGGTGAATAGTCTGATGCAATAGTACTGACTGGCAAGGAAGGCAGCTCTGCCGAAAAGAACTTTGGGATCCTGGTGGACAACAGATGTATCTGAGTAAGCTGTACCTTTTGTGTCCATGCTGCAAGGAAGGCCAGCCTCCTAGGTTGGCCAGTTGGCCATGCTGCATCTTGGGGTAGGGAGATCTTGTAATGATTGGGTAAAACAAAGAAGTTGAACTGAATAATAGTTCTTTTTTCAGGAACTGAGTGGTATTTTTGTTTTCAGATGTTACATTTGCAAGAAAAGTGAGCAGCAGCTGGCACAACAGCAGAAGCAGTGTGGATTAAAACATGAAGGTAATTTGCCAGAAAAAGCATGATAGTGTAATATTATACAAATTGTTGTTTTTCAGAATATATCAGTTCAAGTGTGTGTGTGGTTTAGGTTTTTCAACAGTTGTGAGTTACATTTTTTCTTTAAGAAAAACACATGTAAATATGTGGAAAATATATAAGGTGTCTTCTCCATCCAAACCTCAGAAAATTCTGATAAATTGTACTGGTCACTTGTATATTTCAATGGGTTTGGTCTCTCTTCCTCAGGTAAGATATATTTTGTGAGCTAGGACTCTGTTCTTTTTGTGAGAAGGGCTCAGCTGTAAACCGTGAGGCAGTACACAAGGAAGCAGTTCATGAAGACAGCTTTTAGAATAGATCAGGTTTAAAAATTTGTGTTTTCCAGTGCAAAAGTCATCCTATGGAAAGCTGTTTAATAAGAAAATGGGAGGCAGTGAACTTAGACAACTAATAACAATCTAGTGGTCTGAAGTATTTCTGTACTATACCCCACCAATTCTCAGTATAAATGATAAATGGGATTTCTCTCCTCTTTCTCTTGTTGTGTTATCTTTACTCTCTTTTTTTCCTTCTGTTCCTACCTCTGCCTACACTTCCAGGGATTTTTTTTTATAAGCAGAACTCTTCGTTCCTTTCATTAAAACAACTGTCAATATACTGGATTCTGTGCTGTCATCTTCCTGGTTGTATCTTTGTCTGACTACTGTGTCCTAATGGGGAGAACTTGTGGCCTTGCTGGAGTAAGAGATACAGATTCAGTTGGCTGAGTTTTGCTTCTGATCTGAGTTTGTCATCTTGGATAAACCCTTCATTAAACAGCAGGAAGCCTTCCCATGGGTGTTTGCTTCTGCCTTTACTCTATTTTTTCTTTTCTTGTAAAGCCCGGTGCCTAAACACATAATTTTCTTGACACAACCATTGGCCGTTACGACCTGGATTCTTATAATTACAGTTATTTTGCACAGTGTCTTTGCCAGGTTCTAGACTGTTAGCAAAAAAAGTATCATCATAGTATAGAGATTCATTGGTACCATAAAGACAGTATATAGGTTTCTATGCCAACTTGAATTCCTGTTACACATGCTTCTATCTATATAGTGCTCCTATCCCAGCTACTGCTTTTAGATCTTTTATGTAGTCAGCAGATGGGCAGATTGCAGTCTTGAGTTGTTTTAATTTATGCCTAGATTTAGCTAAAGAAATTGCTTTACATAATGTTTTCCTAAGAGCTAAATGTGATAGTAGGGGTTTTGGTAAGGGAAAAAAAACCCCTACCTTTTTGAGAAATAACTGTAGTTCAGAATTACCAAGCTTTTTCCTTTTGTTTGTGGAGGGTTTTTTGTTATTGTTTTGGGGGAGGGAGGGTTGTTTGGCTTGGTTTTTAAATCTGCCATTTTGTTAGCTTTGATGGAGTACAGGCAGGAGAAAGCCACAGATTATCAAGCCATCAAGACTGCTTTAGCCAGCATTGCCCAAGACATTAAGCAAATAATTATGTAGGATATTGTTTACTTAAATCCATTTTACTGCTGCTGACTGGCTTTCTTTGCAGTCCAGTCTCTTCTCTGTTTAGTACTGGTAAGCAAACAATAACAATCAGTTACTCTTGATTTGCAATGAAAAGGATTTTAAATCGCCACCTCAGACAAGCTTTTAACTCAGCAGGGTGTGTTGGCTGACTTTCTCATTGTGTACTTGGTTTGTGTACAATTCAGGTAAGTTTAGAAGGATGCTTGCATTGGCTGTCAGTGAGCATATTTCTTCGTATTGTGCCTGAAGTCTATGAATATGTGCTGAGTAAACACTGAGTGTTAATACTTGATGCTGATTTCAGCAACTTGCCATGTAGTTATACACAGTAGACAGTTGAAACGAGCTTGTGATTGCTCTATTGTATGAAGGATTTTTTTTGGTGAGTTATTTGTGCTATTACAGTGATGCATCCCACTGAATGCTTATGGAAGCAGTTGGTCATTTAAAATGTGATAAATATCCTGACTTGATTCTTACTGGAATGGTAAAGCTTTTTTTTTTTTTTTATTAACATACTAAAATTTATACTGTATGGTACTCTTCCCACCAGGTGAAAACAAACTATTACAGTAACATTCATAAACATTCTCCCTTAGGTGATTTGAGGCTTATTTATTACAGTGAGCATAACTTAAAAGTTAACGTGTAGCACACTGTAGACTAAATTCATACTGTTTCTCAGATAAACAACAAAAGGATTTATCAGTAAAGGGTGTTGTTTTATTTTGTTGTTTGTATATCAGAGAACTTGTAAATAAGCACTTGTGTAGTTCTGGACATAGATGTTTCCAGTTGTAATAGTTTCTTATGTTCTGTTCAGTTACCTTCATCTCCGAGCAGGGCCTTGTCATTTGCCTACAGCCTGAACAAAGTCGTTCTGTAGTTTGACATTTAAGTTTTTCTCATCTCTCTTAAGATACACCTTTTGAATATGATTTAATTTTTTCTTTCTGTATTTTACTGTTTGAAAGCAACATAAAAAGAACAGCAGTAAAGCAAGCAATTCTAAAACCACTCTGGCTATTGATGTGAAAATGTTGAACTCAAGAGCTGCTTTTTTTCTTGCTATTACTGTTTGGCTTGTCAGGAGATAGAGAGTATAGTGTAGATGGAAGTTTTTGGTTTTCTTTAAGTCTTTTGTCACATTATAATCCTGCTCTATTTTTCCCGGAGTTCTGTGTTTCTTGGTTTTGTTGCTCAAGTGTATATAGTAAGAAGTTCCAGTGAATAAAAATTCAAGGAAGCAAGTAAAGTTCAAAGAGCAAAGAACAAATGCAGCATACTTTTCAAACTTCTTTTTCTTCTTCTTTTTTCTTCTTTTTCTGGTGCATAAAGCTTGGAAGAGATCAGTTCAAAATGAATGCATCATAAGCTTTAGGTTCAATTACCTTGACAGTTGTAAAAAATGATTCTTTAAAGTACATGTAAAGTTCCTAAGACTAAGACAGTAAAGAACAGCAGAATTTCAGTGCGTGGAATATATAGCATAGATGTCATCTATAGTCCCATCAGAGAAGCACCTTGAAAACAACTGTAAGGTAACCCAGATGTGGGGAACTGAATAACATTACAATACTAAGTCCATACCAGTTAATATGCCTCAAAACCTCAACCTTGCTATTTTTTCATGGTTAAACTTTAATAAGCTTATACAAACAACTTTAGTTCAGTCCTGAATTTCACCCCCATCATCAGCAATGGCACTCCATTCCTGAACTCCAGTCTTAGAACTGCACGTAGCTTCATAGGCTATTCTGCAGTCATGACTGTTGTGGAATTGTTTGTTTGAAGTATCCGCATCCACTCATACTGAGAGGGGAATAGGGGTGTTATGGCTGCTTCATGGCTTTTTCTTTTTGCAGTGAGGAAGGTGATTATGTGTAATATAAAAATGCAAAGGCATTTTTAAATCTATTTTTATCCATATTGAAGAAAATACAGGTTAGATGACAACTCTGTGCAGTGCCTGACACTGTTTCTTTGTTCTAGAAAATTCCTCTGCCTCCTGGTTTAAGTCTGATCTGTAACAGAACACTGTCATGTTGAAAACAGACTTTTTGTACTGGTTTCCAGAAATTTGTAAAGATTTATGCACAGGAAAGTTTAACTCTGTTAATAGTATTAATCTTCAGACATTTGGGATTGGGGTGGAAACAGACTACCCAAATAGCACTGATTCTGAATCCGATGTGCATGTGTCGGGAATGGTGATCAGTTTTAGCAGATAATCAGTCTGTGAAGGGAGAAAGAATCTTGCTCTGTTAGTATATGAAAAATAAATTTATTTTTTTAAAATGCAATTTTAGGTATTTATTGACAGTACATGAATATGGGCAATATAAACTTGTAAGCTGCCAACAATAGTTGCTTCTTAGTGTTCTTCTGAGTAGATCAAATCATAACCTATCTCCATGCCTTTATTGATGTGTTTCAGAAGAAGAAGAATGGAAGATTATTAAAGGGAAATTTCTAGCCATTAATGCAGTAAACATGAGCTGTGCCTGTCCACGAAGTCCGAAAGGTCTTTCACCAGCAGCTCATTTGGCAGATGGTTCAGCTGACCTCATTCTAGTTCGTAAATGCTCAAGATTTGATTTTCTACGGTATCTTGTCAGGCATACAAACCAGGATGATCAGGTGTGTATTCCCTTTGGCAGTGAATTCTCCAGTGTCAGTCTAAGTTGTAAATATTGATATTCTTATATGAAAAAAAAATTTACAAAGCAGGTCTGTTGGTTTTTCTTTGTTTTTTTAAGAGTTTCTGCATTTTGGGTGACAAAAACTCATCATGTGTACCATTAAAAAAAATCATTCTAGCTAAGTCAAACCTTTGGCTGTAGCGTTCTAATAAAAGTCCATTTTTTCTAATTGAATTCTGTTTTATAGCATTTTCCATATATTTGCTGTTTGGACAATATTTACAGTGATTTGTCATGAAAAACTATTCACAGCAGTGCAACATAAGTGAGGTAGAAGTTGTAGTGAAGAATAATAAATCACTTTTTGTAAACTGCATGAAAATGTGGTTTAGAAGAAAGCTACCAGAACTGTAGTTTGGTTGTAAAGTGCTAACTTTTAGCGGAATTTTACTGCATATATGTGATCAGGATATGAGCTTTATTCATTTGGCTTTAAAATTATTCTTTGTGTATGTTGTAGCTGTCAGGATAGACTATAAGGAAAGATTCATCACTGCTTTTGATCGTAGTATCTGTTGAAACCAGAGCTGTGGCTGTGAGCACACACATTTAGTATTTGTCACAACCTGATGATATTAACGTGTTCTGGAAATTATCTGAACAATGGGTTAGTGTCATAGTCAGTTATAAAAGCAATAATAAATCTCATTTATGATGCTATTCTTCCTCCTCTGTAGAAAAATTAGTATAGATTCTCTTTATTGTCACATTACCATTCCCTGGGACATTTTGTGTCTGTTTTCCTCCTTCCTGCTATTCTCAGTCTCCTGCTCTTCCCTTCACTCCTTCCCAATCACCCTCACTGCTCCCTTGATATTTTTGGTTATTTGAAGCCTTCGTTGTCTGCCTTTCAAACTGACTTCAACATTTATCAAGCAAGTTCATTCTGCTTAGACTTGAGGCATTCTGCTTAGACTTGAGACATGAGAGCATTCATTGTGCAGCTGTGGAAACCAGTTTTTGCAACTAAGCTGTTTGGACTAGTAAACTGCTTAGCGAGCCTCATTGTACCCATGAGCCACTACTTACAAGAGTGGATTTTGACAATTTGACAGCTTTTTTATGGCTAAAAGCTGCGGGAACTTAAGACCTAGGAGGTCCCTTCAAATCTGATGCTTTTTGTGATTCGTTACTGTGGCCGTTCCCCTTCCAGTGCTTCCTGCCTGTTTCTCTCTGGCGTATGCTGGTCTTGCAGTGCAGATTAAATGCAGGGTTGTTCTCACTTCGGGTTAGTGTCTACCATAACAGTGGGAAACCCCTTTTTGAAAACTTAAAAAATTGCGAGGGACACCCTCTAATTTGATTGCTCCTTTAATTTATGAAGCCTGTTTTAAAGCATTTTTATGATATTATAGTCTGCATCTTCTAAGAGTGATCTTTTAACTGTCCCACTTTTTCTAGCTGAATTAACTAGTTAAAAATACATTCATTTTGTTAGAATGCAATAATATTGCTCTCTATTCTTTTGATCCTATACACCCAGCTCTGGGATGCGATCACACTGCCATGGAATTCTCACCTTCAGGACATTGTTCCAAATGCAGAAGCAGAAGGCTTTCAAAAAAGCCCATGTGTCTTAAGGGCTGTAGTTGAAGAGGTCCTGAGGATGGTACAAAGATCCAATCCAGACCTTTCTGACTTCAATTCCATGCTATATTAGTTTTTATAGGGCATGATTTATACCCCATTGGCTCATAATCACAAAACCTGTTACCTGATTATCTATAACATGGCCACTTGAAGAGGACCCTTAAAAAGTAATGTTCCAATTTGGCTTTATTGTTTCTGACTTGTGCTGCTTTTTAAAAGCAAAAATCACTCTCTGCCTCAGATAAGCTTCTCCAGAAAATTGGAGTGGACAGACTTGAATACAGAATGCTGCACCCTGACTTGCTTTACACATCAAATGTATTTAACTAATTGTAATTGCCTGTTTTGATTTGTTTTTTTCTGTGTAGTTTGACTTCTCATTTGTAGATGTTCATCGGGTGAAGAGTTTTCAATTTACTTCAAAGCTTTCAGAAGACAATGAAAGCAATGTCACTGACATGGGAAAGAAACGGTTTGGCCAGTTCTGCCGAGATCACCCAGCCTGTTGCTGTAACATTGCTAATAGCACCTGGAATTGTGATGGAGAAACTCTGGAGAGTTCAGGAATTGAAGTGAGGTAAGCATTGATTATTTTTCTCCATAAACATCAGGCCTTTTCACTGATTTTAAAGATGCTCACAAAGACATCCCCAAAAGGTGCCTCTACATAGTAAATTTGGGTCTTCTGATAATAAACTTTTTTATATATCCTTTTTTGAGTCTTTTCCAGAGAATAAGCGTAAGTGATCACTCTGAGAAAGGTGGATGGCTCTACCATTGGAGTCATACTTACTTCTTAGGAACTGCTACATGCTTGTGTTGGGAGGATTCTTTTTAAAAGTGCAGAGTACCTTATTACTCTGAGGAACAGCCTTTCCTGTTAAACATAAACTTAAGTAAGCATCATTGTCTTACAGATGAGTGTGTCCCATACGTTGTAATTTTTGACACAGCACTGAGTCTTATCTCCAGCCTTTGCATATGGAGGAAGACGTTTGCAGTTGTGCAAATAATCGAATTAGAAAGGAATAGAGGTTTGTGAAATTTGAAGGAGTTTTTTGATTGAATTGTTTGGGGTTTTTTTGGTTGATTTTGTTTGTTGTTTTTAGAACAAAGGGAGCAAAAATACCTAATATTTACGTGCAAGTGTGTCTACTAAACGTGATCACTTCCAGTCCAAAAGTGATTTCTGTAGATATTGTGTATTGCATAAAATCAACTCGTCTAAGTTCACCATACAACTCTATGTATGGAAAAGAAGAATAACCTGAGTGATGGATATGTGAAAACATCCAACCTTCTTTTCAGGAAAGGACTGTATCAAAAATGAGAGTGCATTTTATGTAGTCTGGAGCAAGGAACTTTGTCCAACTGCTTAAAATTAATGGATTATTTGAATTAAATGTGTAGTATACATTTGTTTCTTATTAGTTGATCTCTATATTTTCCAGGGTTCACTGCCAGTTAATGAAACTATTTGCAAGGGGAATCGAGGAAACCTGTAAAGATGAAGCTGCCTACAGCCAGAGTAGTGTTGAGCAATGACTATAGACATTGTTCCTCCAGTGGGGAGAGGAAAAAATGAAAGCTCAAGGAACTTGAGTAAATATGCATTTTAGTCAAATTGACAAGTATTTTAAACTTTTAGGTTTGAGGTTTTGGTTTTTTATGGCTTCAGTTTAGTTTTAGACATCATTGCATTGTGTCATTTTTTTAAAGAACATTGTAATCATTAAAATGTACCTTGGAACAATGTAATCTAAGTTATGTTAGAAAAGAGAGAATTGGCATATATATGTGTGTGTGTGTGTGTGTGTGTAATCATGAAGACTGATAAATTCTCTGTGCTTTTCTGGAGAGCTAATGTAGCGGTTGTGTTGCAATAATATCCAAATGTTACAAAACATTGGACTTTCCACTGTCATCAAACCAAGAGATCAAGACAAGATATTTTTCAGAGTCTGAGATGTTTTTTGCTGGGGTCATTCCATAGTTACATGTGGCTTAAATGCTGGACAACAGTGTTGTCATTCACATCTTTGTTTAGTAAAACTTTTCATTTTGTAGTTCTGACTATACCTTGCAACTTATCAATGCAATTCAAACACACATTCCTGGCTTTAAGTAATTAATATAAGAGTTTAGAAATACTTTGAAAGATAAAAGCACATCTGCACACAGATCATACCTTGTCGTATACATTCTATTTGTAAAGGCTTCCTTGCATGATGCTTTTTGGGATGATGAAGGGTTTTATGACTGTTTGGATGATACCAAATACTGCACACTGCAACTGAAATGTCTTGCAAGCATCTTGCAAGGATACTTATGTAATACCAGAAAGGCACAGGCAAAGGAAAATATAAATATCTTCTGAAACACCAGCAAGTTTAGATTTTTCTTTTAAATCTAAAATTAACGTATGAAAAGCTTCCCTCTTCAGTACACAGTTCCTCAGAGATTCTACTACAGATGTTAAAATTTCTTTGTGAAATAAGATGCTGGAATGTTAAGTTTAAAAATATTTGATTGGAAGGGTTTTTGATTTTGTTTTTGTTTTTTTTAGTAATGTTCATTTAACTAAATATGAAACAAAATAATTTGTATTGTGAAATGAAGGGAAGAAACTGGCATTTGGTAAATCATGAAATCACTGTGCTGATTTGTTTTTTATAGCAAAAACCAGACTAGCATCTATAGCTCTGGAGTGATTTTTTATGTTGTGTATGGATTTGTGTATTGTGACACATACATGTTCTGTGTCTGGGCTTGGGGCTAAATTTTGCTGCTGTTGTACAGATTTATTCCTGTTTGAATATCATAAGTTAGCCCCTACTGTCCTCTGTCTTTTCTTAAGTTTGTAGTTATCTTTAAACCTGATTGAATCTGAGGGGTCTTTTTTTGCATTTTAACAGTTAATGGTTCTCCACTCATGTATATTTATTGGTACTTCTGTCATTAAGCATTTATTACTTTCATGTCTCTCATTGGTCTGTGTAAGCCATGGTGATTGGTGATTTTATTACTGAAGCACTTGAAAATTGTTATAAATGGCAGATTTTTTTTTTAAATTGAAGTTATTTACATTCCAGTTTTGTGTAATATCAAAATGGTGTGCTATATCTTTGCTACAAAGTATTATTCATACTGCTCTATAGGACAAAAAGCACTTGCAAATGATCTTGCTTGAAGTACAGCCATACAAAGTTTAGGAACTGGGTTATTTTTATTTTTTTAATAGTATTTCAGGGAAATACTTGAATACTTTTAAAAAGTAGAAGTACTGCTGTTTACTTTCCTTATTAATTCAATGAGTTGAATGTTGATTGATCCGATGTTTGTCAGACATTTGTAACACAAGTGTTGCGTATACTGTATTTTTAAAGGCACATTTAATAAGTGAAATAGTACTTTTGAACTAAGAACCCCATTGAAAATGAGATTGTGCAGTTCTAAAAATGCAGGGTTTGTTGTTTTTTTTTAAAGTGTCATTTGTTTAAGAAGTTCTACAGTTATTGTGGTTTGCCCATAAATATTGTGAGAGAACCCAGACTTCAAGTAACTAGTTCTTGTGCAGGATATGATGGCGCACACTCAGTTTACCAACAAACAAGATCATTTGTGAAGCTTTACAGCTATCCACATTCTCATCAGTGAAAACAGGAGTAAATACTATACCAGCTCTTTCCATTAGCTTGCTAGCAAGTCATGAGACCCTGACTTCAAAAATGGAGGCTTACTCTCATTGTGAATGTATGTAGAAATGCTTTGAATATTTTTAATACCTGAAACCGAGTGCTTGGTGTTTCAAGGTAAGATGCAGAGAAGGCCCCTTTCTGAGAAACAAGCCACCAGAAAAGGAGAAAAGATTGTTCCATAGTATGGTAATGAAGTGTGAAGTAAATAATAGAGGTGTTGCAACATAATAAAATGAAAAGATCTTAGGTAATAGAGAAGCTGTATAGTTGCATTTGAATAATTCTGTTTGTAGCATACTGTAGTAGCAAAGCACCATGTGAGCTGTATAACATTGTCCAGTTTATTTTTAAGAGATCTGTGTAAGTAATGTCTGCTTCCATTTAATTATAGGTTGTTCTTTTCTCTCTGAATGTAGTCTCAGTACAGAAATTATGTATAGGAAAACCAAGTCTGATTATTATTTTTTTCCCAATCTTGCTGGCTTCAAGATTAGAAAATGTGTTCTGTTTTATGATGCTAGGGCATTTCATTGAAAAAATAAAACTACGTCATACAGCATTGCAGTGTTTTTCTTCATTTCATAACTTGATTTGAAAAAATACCTGGCTTTGTTTGACAGAAAATTGGCAGGAGCGTGCTCAAGTGTAACCAATGTGAGCAGATTAAGCCAGGTAGAGAAATAATTCATAAGCTTCCATTTGCATGACTACAGGTTTATAGCAAGTGTCAGAGTGGACAAACACTAAGAGTGAAGGAAAGCAACTACTGAAGCTGGACTTACACTAAAATAAGAAACTTAACAAAAGTAAACTAAAGATTGAAAGGGGGATAAGAAAGTTATTTTATAATGTAAGTATTTACAGTTATTTATTATGAAAAAAATTAAAATACAAAAAATGAGAACTACCATTCTAAGAAGTATAAAATAGGTATTATTCATTAAGTAGTATATAGTAAATAGATGGGGATTTTTTAGAATTTCATTGTAATAGTTATTACAGATGCAGTACATAAATAAGTAAAACATCCTCATTACATATGTACAATGGGCACAGAAGATGCTTTTCAGCACTGTACCGAGTTCTGCTTTTGAAGTGTGTTGGGTTTACATGGCAAGTTTGGTAACAGGGGGTGCTGCATGGTTGGCTTTTGTGAAAAGCAAATAGAAGGTGCACCCATGTTGGGCAGAATCAGTTCCAGCAAGCTCCCAGATGGGCCTGCCACTGACCAAAGCTGGGCTGATCGGTGACGTTGGCAGCATGTTGAAGGGTAAAATTTGCTACATAGCAGCTGTGAGGGGAGTGGGGGGAAAGTAAACAACCCTGCAGGGGCAAAGTCAGTGAAGAAGGAGAGGGAGGAGGTAGTCCAGGCACCAGAGCAGAGATTCCATGGTGAGGCAGCCCATGGAGGTCTATAGGAACCCTGTGCTGGGTCAGGTGGATGTGTCCTGAAGGAAGCTGCAGCAAGTTTCCTGGCAGGAGCTGCAGAAGGGGAGAGGCGCCCATGCATGAGCAGGTTTTCTGGAAGAAACTCTCGCCCATGGAGGGAACCGAAGTGGGAGATGTTCATGGAAGAGGAAGGAGCAGGAGAGATAAGTGTTATGAACTGACCACAACCCCATATCCCATCCCGCTACACTGCTCAGAATTGGGGAGGAGGTAGAAAAGTCAGGAGTGAAATTGGTCCCGGGAAGAAACTAGGGAGGGAGGAGGGGAGAAGGTGGTCTTAGTTTTGTTTTTATTTCTGGTTATTTACTCTGTTATAATTGCAAAAAAATTAGTTACTCTTGCACAAGAAGTCTGTTTTGCCCTTTACTGCAATTGCTAAGTGCTCTCTCTCTTAACTCAACCCATGAGCTCTTCGTGGTGTTTTCTCACCCTGTTGCTGAGAAGGGAGAGGGACAGAGAGGCTGGGTGGGCACGTGACTGGCAGCAGACATCGACCCATCCCATGCAGTTACTCAGCAAGGCAGTGTTTGCAGGGATGTCTTACGGCACGAACGGAAGATGGCATGTAGAATCAGAAATTTCTCTGAACACCTCTATTGTGCAATTTAAGTATTACTTCCCTAGAGCTCCTGCCTTAATCCCTATGAAGTGAATGAGTAATAGGGATTCATCATTTTTATTCTCATTAGTCACATTGCTCTTATTTGTAATTTTCCACAGGATAGTTAAGTAAATTCAATAGATTCTAACTGGTGTTTAAGTTGCAGTAAATGAATTCTGTCCATAATGAAGCGACAGTCCCTCCAGACTTCTGTCTCGCCCACTGACATGCACATGACGTACATCTTGCAAAGGCTTATGCATGTTCTTAATTAAGGTGTGACTAGTCCCATTAATTAGAAGGGGTGGGGCATTAGTTCTGCAATCAGTCATGCCTTTCAAATCCTCTGCAAGGAGAGGATTAACAATTTTTTTCATCCCGTTTCCTGCTGTTTAAAAATTCCTGCCAATATGTACCTACCAAAATTGCCACGAGGTGGTCTTCAAATGATGTTTGCTCCTTTAAGACTTACATGCCTGAAAGGATGACTTGCATTTGTTGGTAGCTGTTTCACCTCAAATGCCGGTTTGTGCTTTGTTTCATAGGAATCCTCCAGCAGTAATTAAAATGAATAGGAGTTTTTCTCTCTCTTTCTTATTTTATTTTTTTCACATCTAGAGAAGACTTCAGTAGTGTAGAACAGGTAAAAAAAATGGAAGGGAAAAAGATACTCATAAAGGAAAAAATACTGAAAGAATAACAGGAGTTGATGCAAATTGGCCCAGATTCTGGAAAGGACAAAAGAGAGCAACTGGCAAACAAGTTTTATTTTTTTAAAGAAATAAGAACATAAAATGCAGATTTTCATTTATTTATTTTGCTGGAAAGCATTGCCCAGGCATGTGCCCTTCAGCTGCACAGTAAAGAGAGCCCTAAAGGTTTGAGTAGGTGGCTGGAAGTTTGACTATTTACAACTGGCAGACAGCTGTAAATACCGGTCATGCCCTGTATTTATACTCACAAACTTTACCCGCACAGCAGCATTGCTAGAAGAGGTGCTAAAGGAGAATTATAAAAGCAAGTTCCTATAGCAATGTGCAGCATTCTGAAATGACTGTTCAATCTGCCAAATGCTTATTTTCCATGCTAATGTTTAGTAGCTGCATTTTAAGGAAGAGGAGATTGGGCAACAAGGAGGAATGCTAGGTCAGTACCTCAGTGCTGCTGAGGTTAAGGTAGTGGGACAGCAACTCACCTCAGCTAAGGGTCTGACCCATAGACCTTGCAATGCCAGGGATAGTTCCCACAGAAAGTGATTGCATACAGAAATACCTGTGCTGTTCCTGTAGATGTTTGTGCAACCTGTTCTGAGCTTTCAGGGATGTATATTCTGCAAACTATTTTAGCTGTCAGAGCAAATTGCTTAAAGATTTCTAAAGTTAGAAAACTTTGGTTACTCACTTAACTGACTCTCCCTGTTGTATTTAAGCGTGCTTGCTCTGTCCTCAGTGGGCATAGAGAATGCCTAGCCTTCAGGGAAATTCCCTGCCTATGCTGTTGTGTTCCCTCTCAGTCTGCTGTTCTTTGCCTAAACAGACTTAATATTCTGACAGAGAAGGAAAAAACTCACAATATTCAAGCACAAATTGATATCAAGAAAAACTGCTTGAAGCTGATTTCTGTTTACCACTGAAGAAGGGAAACTATAAGAAGAGACCTAGTATTGACGGGGTTGCTCCAAAATATGAATGAGGAGTTTCATAAAGTCTTCAATTCAATTAGATACTGTTAGCTCCTAGATGCTATGTTTTCACAGAATGCTGTCTAAAGATCAGATGGATGCATTAGAGTAGATATCTCCCTTCAGCAGTACCCATAGAATGAATTTAACACACTCAGGCAGTGCCAGGGGAGGTTTAGATTGGATATTAGGAAGGATTTCTTCACTGTATATGTAGTCAGGCATTGGAACAGGCTGCCCAGGGAAGTGGTGGAATCACCATCCCTGGAAGTGTTCAGAAACTGAGCAAATGAGGCCCTTAGGGACATGGTTTAGTGGTGGCCTTGGCAGTCCTGGGGTAGAGGTTGGACTTGATGATCTTAAAGGTCTTTTCAACCTAGAATCATAGAATCCAAGTGATTCTATGATTCTAATAACTACTCTGAGGGTTACGCTGCTGATAGATGCTGCCTGGCCCAGAGCCAAAGAAGATCCCAATCAGGTAAGTAGCTCTCAGATGGTTGGAACCTTCCATTTCCATTTCATCTCATAACACTGAAATTTTCGAGGGAAAACAGACAAAACCTGAACACCTGAGAGCCGCTGTGGTTCCAATTTCCTGGTAAAGGCTTAACAACCACTACCGGTCCTCAGCACCTTGGTAGCAGGATCAGGAAAGAGTAAACATCAGCGTATTCTCTCACCAGAACAGCAGATTGTGTTGCTTGTTCTCCTCTGTGCGTAGGCAAAGGTTTGAACTAACAGAAGAAGTTGTATTTTTTTCCTGCATGAAAGAGTTCACAGACTTGCTGGGGGAAGGTGAGGTGGGGAGAAAGCCCAGCCCTGTGGCTGTCTGTGTTTGGAGGAGTGCATCCTGAGGCTGCTGTGGTAGGAACTGCAGGCAGTGATGCTTCCTCTGGATGAACTATTGCAGAAGAGGAATGAGGTGAGCAGGGGTATTAAAAGACCTGTGTCTGTGCAGACTCAGCAGTCCAAACTCACTCTCCCAGTCAACAAAACATTGCACTGAGTCCGTGTAAGTCGCTTGGGTCTGAAGCCATTGCTGTCTGCCCTGCCTTTGTTTGTTGGAGGAAATTCCACTGCTCTGGGATAAATCTGTCCTGCAACACTGCTGAGAAAAAGCGCAGCAGGAATTTGTTAGTGAAGTAGCTATGTTCAGTTTTTTCACTGAAGCTAAAAGAGAGAGAAAAGGGTGTGATGAAAGAGTTGTTGATTCACCCTGTCCCTTGCTGAATCAATGCATCTTGCATTACAGGAGCAGGGGGAATGGGAGGCTACTGCTGCTTATATTGATTTCTACCAGGGTTTCCGATTTCTGCCTTCCAACAAAAGCTGCTGAGATGATACCAGAACTCCATTCTCCACTTGGCGTGGGTGGGCGCTAAGGAAAAAAATGCCTACCCATTCAAAAGCACTAACAGAATCTTAGAATCATAGAATGGTTTGGGTTAGAAAGGACCTTAAGATCATCCAGTTCCAACCCCACTGCCGTGGGCAGGGACAATCCAGGAAGAGAAACAGATACTGCTATATCTGAATTCCCGCAGTCCCAGGACACAACATACATTCCTCAATGGTGACAGCCAGAGCTTCCTTGAAGCAAAAAATACCTCCCTATGCTCTTAGTGCAATGCAGCGAGGAAAGGAACTACAATTACTGAGGTTTTAATGTTTCTTCTAAGGTTGCTCTGGTGGGAAAGCTTCTCTGCTGTCTTCATAAGGACTGGGAAACATACATCAGGTCACAGTGCCCACTGCAGCACCTTTTCTACTGACATTGACTGATGTCTTAGTACCAACAGGCTATGGGCCACGTGGAGGTGCAGTC